AGCATACTATCGGAGCATTGCCTTAGCAGTTTTTGGACTCTAAATCTGTCCAAAGGTAATTGCTGAATTTACAAGCACGTCAGCCAACGGCCCACCTTCACTTGGCCAGTCCAGACCAAGAATTTTTTTGTTTTTTACTCGATTCTCACCCGTCAAACAGCCCACAAATAGACTGCAACCTTCAAGTCCTGCCCACACATTTGATTCAGTGCCAGTGCCTCTGTAATGCAGAGTGAAGGCAGGTCCTCCTGAAGTGACTGACGTCATTCAAAGTGTTTTTCAGAGTATTAGGTGGAGACAAATTTGGCTTGCAATTTGACCAGAAGGCACTGGATGCATCAAGTGGAAATGAGTTTGAGGCACAGGCTTTTTTTTTCATGGGAATATCTTGTCGCACAGTTGTTAGAAAGTGATTTACAGGCTTTACTTGCTTTAATGAAAAGAGGCCCACAACACTGCAGTGTGTGGTAAAGAACAATGGCTACCGGTACCTTGTTGTGATCGTATGTACAAAGCTGTTGTTGCATCACATGGAATCATACAGGCTAAAATTTCACCAAGGAGACTTGCATGTACAGTGTACATGTACTGTTCACCCTAAGTGCTTTAAATTCAAAAACCATAAGTTAAGTATATTTTAAAGAGAAAAAGAAATCATATTACTTGAAGTGCTCATCACTTTTATCTTTTTCCCAGTTGTTTTGATCAAGCTTTCCTGCACATTATCATGGAATATCACATCAAAATCACTAAAAAAAATATTGTAAAATTTGTAGTGCCAGCACAAATCATGAACGGTAAATGTGCACTAGAGACATGTATGTGTACTGGGTGTGCGCAACTTACTGAACCTATCCATGTCATGATGTGCCACTCAGCACCCCACAGTACTGTACATGTATTAGTACAACACAGATGCATTCAAGGAATTTATTTTATAATATCATCTTGACCTTTAGAACAAGGAGGTGTATACAAACCTGCCTACCTAGTAGGTAAAATGTGTTTATGTACAGATGTGGGAAGGGGGGAACATGTAGCGGTACATCTACCCAAGTGTGATTTGTGGATTATTTTACAGTGCGCAGCTGTTTGTTTTGATGGGATGTATGGACATGATGGGGGGGTTTTGTCAGGCCAAAGAACAAAGATGCCATCTTAGGTTTTGCAGACTGTTTGGACTACATGTACATATGTACATACATGTACATGTACATGTACATATTTGCAACAAGTCTGGTAAACTTACTGGCACATGTTACATGTACATTTGACCTGTCTGTATTGTATTCTTTCAGCATCCATGGAATTCATAAAAAACCACACTGCTTGGGGGCAGATTAGGGCAGTTCAAGGAGTAACAGGCAGGGCTTTTGGGGTACAGGGACTAATAAAAAAGAAGCTTTTTTTCTCTATTCTGTATTGTTAACAATATTTATGCACCTGTACGGGTACCATTCACTCACCAGCCTAGTGGGGACTACTGTACACAAGTATTGAATGATAATTATTCTGTGGGGACAAATTCATTATGATGTGTTTCAGGACAGTTTTTTGCCCATAATTCTGTCTTGAATTTCCCTTGCATTGTCCTCTCAACCTCAGAGGCCTTCCAGGCAAGGTTTCACATTTCAGCTTCATACAGAGAGAAAAGTTTGAGAAAGTACATGTACGCTATACCATACATATGCACATTAAACATGTATATATATATATTAGTATTACATGTACTGTACATACACACAAACGTTTTATGTCAACAGTTTACAGAAAATATACCTGTACCTCCGAATGTACATGTACCTGTACCTCCGAATTCCAGCTCAGACCCAGTGAATGCACCATCTCACTCAACTCTACTCATAAATTGAATTAACCATTTCAATTCCAAATCCTTCTTCTCTCTTTTTGCACATTACCGGCCGGCCTAACAAGTTTCCCGTACCTACATGTACAAGCCCAAGCTGGTCCCCGCTTAAAGGCATCAAAACCAGGTCTAGGATTGGTCCCATCACATCAGGGGAGTAATCCACTATCCGATTGCCGTTATAAGCCGTGCGGAAAGGCCTTCTCCATTAATTCCAACAAATTGGATTCCACTAGCCCTGGTAGCAAATTGCACGCAGAATTTTAACAAGGGTTGACTTCGTACCCACTGATTTCTTGATGAGGTTTCTGAAGCATTCAGAGGATACCCACACCCTGTGCATACAGTCAGTGTGAACCTTTGCTGAGACATACGTGTATACATGTACAGCATGGAGGAAGGAACTGTTTTCCTTCCTCCATGTGTACAGTAAGTCATTCATGACATACCTGTACAAGTACTGTACATGTACATCATGTACAGGTGCAATGCTAGCCCCAATGTACTCCTATTTGTACAGTGTGTACATGTACAGTATGGTACAGTCTTGATACATTGAGAAGAAACAAATTACTTGTACTTTGTCCTGTGCCTTGAATTGTTTTACACTTTTTCAGGAACTTCAGGAATCATCCTCTGTACAGAACAAGGCACCAAGTGCACGGTGACTTTTCACAATTTCAGTCAGTTGGTCATTAGCCCACTTGCCCTTTTACATGCACAATGTACATGTACCTTTCTGTTTGTGATTTCATTAACCCTAACCCTCAATCCTTCACCTGTTGGAGGACTGAGGAGTGTTAGGGTTAATGAAGCGGCACAGTTTTTGAGTAGGCCTACATTTATTTTCCAGTTGTCTTATGGTGTTAACAGTGGAATAGCATTGTACCACACGTACCTTACAAGGACCAGTACGTGTACATGTACCTTTGGGCTGTCTTTGAGACTGACAGTTCCCCTTTTTTAGTTTTTAAAGGGTTCAGCATGAAAGTTTCAAACCCTTGTTGTGTTCTCTGAACGAAGCCTTTACATGAAGGGTAAAAAGAGGTTTTGAATATTATGGAATATTGTATAAACTTAATTGCAGTGACACAATGTCAGCATGCTGGCTAATGATAAATAATTGGACTGTTGCCTGCCTTGCATACATACACTTTATGTACTTATTAAGTACCTGGTAGTTCAGCTTGCTGGCATTTTAAATGCTACAGGCTTACAGCCCCTTTTCCAACCAACACAAGTTGGTACATGTAGCATCTCTGAGATGTGAGATTTTCCTTACAAATGTGTACATGTACATGTTACTATACATGTACATGTACATAATCTCTTCATTTATAATAATTATGTGCACATGTACATGTACGAGTACATGTATACCAGTACCAGCAGGAGGACTCGAACAAAATCAATCATTGTTTTTGAGTTGTGAAGCCTTTTTACCCAAATAAGTTTATGATTGTTTGCAATATCCAGTGTTGGAACTCTTTCAAGCTAGTGGTACAAAGAGTTTTTCAGTAAACTGACTTCCCCTCCCCTTTTTTGAACCCGTGCAATGATACTGGCACACACTGTACATGTACATGTATGTGTACAGTGTACCGGTACATGTACAGTACATTGTAGTAAAAGTACATCTTGAAGAAATGGGAAATGCATACATGTAGGATCAGCATGAACCAACAGCAACTGAGAAACAAACATTGAGTGCTGTATAAAGAGAAATGACCATGTGATATCTTTTGTCTAATGGGTAAAACAAACAAATTAGTATTGATTTTTATCTGGCATTCCAGCACGCGACCCAATAACTCCCTGGAAATGGGCAAACATTGTTTCCCCCGTCCACCTCAGAGGACCATTAGCAAGAATGATGAGAAATCTCAGTCCCAGTGCTAAATGATGATCGATGCAGGCGAACCTCTCGTTTTGCATCCCAGTCATCCCGGAAACGATGCACCGGTCGTTGTGAAACGATCGGTTCTGGTCTTGCAGGGAAATGGGGTATGGATTTCTTCTCGGCTATTGGGGATATAGAGCACCGGGTGAGGTCATCTCTGTTGTACCCAGTGCATTAAATTGCAGTGAATTGAGATGAGAAGCAGCCGCCAGCAAGATGCATGTGAAGTGAAAGCCTCAATTGGAGGTTTGGAATCCCATTCTTAGTTTACCAACAAAACCAACCTGCGTTTGTAAAGTCAAATTGTTTTTCTGAAAAACTTATGGCAAGGGATGGTTTGAGATAGTTACTCTCCCTAAAAATTCCATTTAGGGTATTGAAATTTTGTTGGACAAAAGTTTTCACAGCCCATTTCTATAAGACTGCTCAGCTGTCATCTATAAATTTATCTGAAACAGTAAAAACAGTAACGTGTCCGTGACTACGTGTACATGTAGAATGTTTCATTCTGCCTACCCCTTTTATACATTTACATGTACATGCAACATTTCCAATTTGTCAGACATTTCAGAGCATTTTGGAGGATTTTGCAGGTCTCAGGCAGGTACAGCCCAGACAGTGTCACTTTCCGTGGGTGCAGTGTCACTTGAGTGGGTGCAATGTCACTTGAGTGGGTGCAATGTCACTTGAAAGTGTCAAGTTGAGAATGGTCTGTATCTGGACCCAGCACTTGGATCCTGGAGAGTTTGGGATCAGTGTTCTAGCCACGGTGGGCAGCGCCGGGCGGCACGACCCGGTACTGCAAATTTCTACCCGGTTCTCGGGTTTAACTTGGCAGTGCCGCCCAGCACGGATTTTCCAAAAATGAACTGAAATACGGGTATTACTAAAACTTATGTACCAATTTGATCATACATGTATTTCAAGTATCAGAGAGCATTGAGAACAACTAGCTAGCATTGTTATGAGACCTGGATGTGAAATTATGGGATATAATGTAGCCCAACAGCGGTATCAATAGAGGGCACAAATCCAGTCCGGTTATGAGCCACGAGAGCTCCGCTCACTGCACTCACTACACTTCGCAATCCAAAAATTTACCCGGCACTAAAATGGTCCCAGCTAGAACACTGTTTGGAATCTATAAACAACCACATGCTTTGAACATACTGCATGTGTCAATACTGTATAAATGTATGATAGCATTTTTTCTTCGGGTTCTTTTCCTTGCAGAAATAGCACGGGATTATCTCCATCGGACGGGCAAATACCAAGTTATCTCCGGTATCATTTCACCTGTACACGACGCCTATGGCAAGAAGGTAATTCAACCAGAATGGACAACATGGATGAAGCAATTAATTAAGTGGCTTGTCCCAGGATCTATTTACACAAGGCCGCATTTAGTCCCTTCTATTTCCTGCTGTGACGTGATGGCCAAATCCCTCTGCAGTTCAACGTCACAGAGCAGGTTTACTGAATGAAACTTGTGATCAGTTTAATGAAGTGTGGGATACATGTATATTGTACATACACATGTATGCACAGGTACGCACATGTACAGTGTACACATACTGTACATGCACATGTACCAGGTACACATGTACTGTGTGTTAGGTAATCTGAATCAAGATTTGGGTTGACATGTTCCCCTTTTATTTAATAAACTGTGAAACAATAATAACAAGAGCTCAGATCGAGGGTTATCATGATGTGTGTGCATTAGATGGGATGCAAACCCTATCTGAACACATGATTTCTTTTTGCGCAAATCTCAATGCCAACTAAGCTATACAACCCAGAGCCTTTCGTTTCACTCAAACACTAGTTTAGCGTTTTTAAATCATCAGAGATAATTCACTTTTACTCGCATGAATTCTTCCCAAGACGACGCCGGCTAACTTCCGGCAGGCCAGAAGAATAATTAAATCGTAGACGCCGTCCTGTCTGCAGCGAGTGGTCAGGCATATATCATAAAGGCCAGCCTCCAAAGTAGAGCAAACTACAGAAATCCATACACGTACATTTAAGCACACGTACATGCGTCTGCATGCCTCCTTAACCCATATATTTCTTTGACCACATGCAACTGCTACGGTCAGTGGTTGTTTAAGAGGGTATAGCACACGTATAGTATGGCATTCAGCATAGATTGTAATATCCACAGTGATCAGGGTCATATTTATGGCACTTAATGTGTACAGACACACTCTCTCATGTAGTTTATTAAAGTGAGGAAAGAGTTTGAGGATTGCTGAGAATTTAAAAAGGTTCGCAATTTGTGTCAGAATTGGAGTGCTACATGTAACTCTTGTGGAGACTGCAGTTTCTCTGATTCAAGGGAAAGTTGTGGGTTGTTCCTATGTACATGTACAGTTTACTAGTAAATGTACATAAAAATGAACTGGTGCAATACATACATCATATCATCATATATCATAAAACTAATCTGAGGAGATCCCATGCTTAACTTGCACATGCCTTTGGCAAGTCACAGTATCCTATTGGTCAACGAGGCATGCGTGTAACACCCATCCACAAACGTTTTCTACCATAAATGCCCTCTATATCTCTTTGCCAAATTACGCCATACAGTGTACATTCAACGTCAGTTGTGAAGCAAGGTTTAGATCATTGGAGAAAGCCTACTGGTAGCAGAAAGCAGTGTATACTCATGTGCATGTACTGTACATTTATACTGTGGTGAAACACTTCTCTTAATTGTTCATGATCCCACCATGAGACGACTGGACAAAAGTGCATGTTGCATACTGGTACTTGCGCTGGAATTTCCAGCTGTGCTCTGACCTTGCTATCCTGCTGCTAACTCATCTGTCTTTGCTAATGGTCTCCACGAATTAGATACATGTACATGGAGAACACTTAGTCATTCTTTTCTTAGATCAGTCTATTTGACATTGAGATGCTACAATGTACATGTACATGATACTGTCTAATGCATTCCTTGATTACATTTTTGTAAGTGTGTTAGTGCGGGGGCTGATTACCCTGTGTCCAGGTTTAAGACTTAGCTGCGAACTCGACATGCACACATTAAACCATACGGCAATGTACAGTGTGTACTCAATGTATCGAATCTTACATGTGCATGCAGATGTGTGTATCGAGGGCAGATCTAGAAGCAATTTCCAGATTTTCTTTTGAACCGGTAAACTACCATGGTCTTTTTGAATTGATGAAGAAAATTTGGGAGCTTTTTACATACATATACTTCGGAAAGTATTATAGACAAATGGCATGTATGTACGTGTATGGTACATGTACGTGGATGTACATGCACATCTTCAAAACTTACCTTTCATTCCCCCCTCCCACAAAAAAATCCCCAAAGGGGGGAGGCACGCATGGTCCTTGCCGGCCCCTTTGATCTGCCAAGGATGCATGTAGCATGCGTTGAAGGAGTCCCGTTTGTCCGTTTGTCCCCAGGTGGTCTGCCCCATTATCTGTTTCACTTCCAACCCATGAGCTCCAGGTCACTTGAAAAGAAAGTTTGTAAACGATTTTACAGTCAATATTCTTGATAACGCTGGTGAAAAACATACATTAGAGTTCAAACTCATTACTCGGTGTACATGTACATGATGTCCAAATACATGTACGGTGTATTCAGCAGGCAGCAAGGCAATGTCAAGATTGAAAGAGGGCTTTATTATGATTCTTGCTGAATTTTGCCGTACCTGTTCTAGTACATTCATGTAAAAGTGCAGTTTGTACACCTTTACACTTGTTTAAATTGAAACCAGGTTTTTCAACTTTTTTTCTGCACCTTTCTCAACCTCATCTCAGGGCCTTGTTTCCGCCAAGCACCGGACAGAGATGTGCAAGCTGGCTGTGAAGTCTTCAGACTGGATCCGATTGGACACGTGGGAAATTGAGCAAGACGGTTGGACAGAGACCGTCAAGGTTGGTATCAGTCAGTCGTTCATTCAGCTCAGCCCCCAACACCAGCAGTGAAAACAAGTTTCACTCATTATCCTGAACGTGCAGTGATAACGTACAGTGTATGTAGGCGCTAAGTGTATTTGTGTTACTGGCTGGATGAACTACAGGGACAAGTGCATGTAATCTGTCAATGAATTTTCACCATAGAAAAAAACAAATTTATTTGCATACAAATATTTATTATTTCTCATGCACATTAATGTGTGGGTCCACGAACAATATCTTCAACAGGCATCTGCCACGTGACATCGCTCAAAAATGCTGTTCATACATACTTACTAAACAATGCAAATACAATGTACAGGTACATTGTGTTTATGTGGTCGTCTGTGCCAGTAAAAGTACATGTATGTGGACCAGTAACAAGCCAGTTTGCCCTGGGCATGGGAACAGGTACTCCCTGCCCTTCATTACGTTAACAAAGAAGTGAAATAATTAAAAAGAGCTCTGAAGACAGTTTTAAGGCTGTGACAAAAGTTCTGAGACACTTTGATTGTAAATTGTATCATTATTCATGGTTTATTTAATTAAGCTTTTGCAGCCAAAAGACTGAATTCTGGCTTCATTTGAACACATTACAATATAAATAAAAATACAAGTATTCATACACTTTATGAAAAATAAAATAATGCAAAACACAGTGACAGCAGAATAGGAACAAAGTAATTTATACAAATGCAACAGAGATTAAAAGGGAAAGATAAAAACATTGAAAAGTTTAAATAAACAATTTATGCCAATGTCTGCACTTGCTTGAGAATAATATCACTAACACTACCTGCAAGATTAACTGCCCTTGATATCTACAGTAGATAGAATTGACTGTCTGACCCCGTAGCCGACAGAAATAATAATTACCAGGCTAAGATCACTGTGCTGCAAAATTTACGGACAATGTATTGCTAACATGTATTCACCAAGTGTACCTTCATCTTTGAAAACCAATATGCCCATATCAGAGTTTTCAGGTGCTTTGTGAAATGACAATGAAACGGTAACTCCCTCTGAGTTATGTGTATTACAGGCCTTGAATATAAGGCCCTGTCTGTCGTTTTTGTAATGGGTTTAACAACAGCAGCAACATGAGCAGGCTGGAACTTGTCCAAGTTCATTTCTCTTGGTTGGGTAATGCATGACCAAGCGTGCAAAGCACGCTCATGCACTGTGACCATTCAGTGAAATTTCAGCTCGAAAGAGGGGATTTTTAAGTTGAAATACATAATGTACATGTACATACCGGTAGATGCCTTTTGAGGTACAGAGCTACATACATGCAGTTTGTTGTATCAGGAAACAGACATTCACAAAATTACCAACTTCGGCTATCGGTAGCCAAGATTCAACTCCAGAAGGGAACTCTTTGAATCTCAGAGACATATTTTTAAATCAAGTTGGCGTGCTGGTTTTACAGTAACCCCCAAATATTTTAGTACTGTTCATCGAATGCAGAGAGTATTAACAACCATACACTCAAATTTTGCTAACCATTACTCCAAACCCTGTGGCGTTTTGTGAAAGTGAACCAGCATTATTAAGTCAAACATATTACTTCACAGAAATTCAATCATCTATTTGCTTATATAAATGTGTCACGAGATATGTAAGCAAAAGTAAATTTGATTACGGACACTTCAGGTGCATGCACTGTAGATGACATGCCATTTCTACTCACACTAATTATTTACATTTGAAAGTCAAGACTGTGTCTGGTAACCCCTGTCATACTGTTTGTACATTTGCACAGTACAGTTACATGTACATATTACAGAGCAGTTGTTTACAGCATGGAGCTACCGGTACAAAAAGCTTCATGCTTACTGGTATGGAAATCAAAAAGATCTAACATAAACATGTACATGTAAATTACATCAGAAGATTTTGTACTAAGTGGAGTGTGTACCTCGATTTTAGAAAAAAAGTGGAATGCCAATTTCCTAGGTACTTTTGTTTAACTCTAATCACAGATGACTCATGTGTACATGTTTGTTATTGTGCTGTAGAATTCTTCACCATCGTGCAAAAGCATGAGGTACACCATAATGTGTAGTGAGAAGAGAAAAAAATTGCCAGCTCAGTCCCAGTGTGACAGACACGCCTGGCCAGCCACACATACTGTCTATGTATTCACAGAAAAGAGATATCTCTTTTGTATATTCTGCTGCAATAGTGTTACTGCCAACCACTTGTTTTGCCTTGGACAAAATGCATTGCAAGAACCCGTTACAGGGTGTAACTTATTGCTACTCAGTACTCATGAAGCCTTAGGAAAAGCTTTGCTTGGAGAATGTCATTTGTTTCTGATTCCAATGAAATACATGTAATTGCATTGGAGAAGCGAAGATGGGATCAGAGGCGCCACGGTGCTGATCTTGGTGGTTCGCCTCCGCAACAAGCAGCACCAGATTCAATTAACTCGTTAATTGACAGAATTGGAATTAAGATTATCGCAATTTGGACAGGTCCCATTTCCATTCTCATTACCCAGTTTGATGAAGCCCATCAGAGATAAAGCAATTGAAAACTAAGGCCCACAGAAGTGCTTGGATAATTGCATTGAGAGTCTCGAGCCAGTTTGTAGTGAACAACAAATGAATAGATGGCATCTTCTGTACTGGAAAAAAAAAGTAAGTTCAAAACAAAGACATCAAATGGGTTAGCATTCCCATCAAGGATGTAGACCTTTTTTAAAGTTCTTCCCCATTTTTGTCAAAATCAGACATTTGATTTTGTAAAAATCAGACATTTGTTTTTTTAAAAGATAAAAATATACCACATGTAGTACATGCCACAGTGGATGTACTGTGCACATTGTACGTGACATGTACATGTGCACTACTTATATGCACAATTGCACATGCAGATAAAAAGTTCCATCAGTGGAAGTTTTTTACTGTCACCATGGCAACGGGATTCTGACTTGTTAAATGTGCAAATGTGGGCTTACTTTGCTTGAGAAACATTTCTATCATATGGGACTTTTCCTTAGAACACCTGTGCATGGATTTTGATATACATATTTTTCACCAGTGAAATGCAACATTAACATGTTAAATTTCAAATGAATCATGCACATTGGGCTTCAGGGAGAGGACAGAACAAGTTTTCTCCTTTAGACATTTTGACCAATATGCATCGATTCCCACAACAGAAGAAAATAGGTTTCACTGTTTACTTCAGTCTTCCAGCAGCAAATCGTTGATCTATATCTGTATCACACACCTTTGGGCCTGCTTTAAGATGCCGTTACAAGTATGTTTAATCAGAGGAAGGAGAAACTGATACATTTTAATGACCCCTCCATCTCCAGTCGGAGGCGACGGTAGAAATGCTGTTTTAATTTAAAAGTGACCCCTTCTAAGGCGGCTTGTCGGTTTAGGGGCCATGTACCGTACGTGTACATGTAGCGCATCTCTGCAGGGTTCAAAATGCCCTACTTCATATATTTTCACGGGTCTCCAATCAATATCAGAATGACATCGGAGCCCTACAGTTGTTTCGTGGGCCCCGCCGCGTCAGCTGTTTGACAGGCCGGGGGGATGACTGATGAAATTGCGATTGCAATTGTGGAGCCTGGCAAGAGGGGAGTTTTTGGTTAAACAAAGCCCTTGCCTCCATCAGATACGTGTGTACCCTGAGGGGGCGGATGGGATACCGTTCAGTGCAATTTCCTTCACTCTTGAGTGTATTTGGTGATGTTAGAACACCAGAAAGTTTCTTGAACAGTACCATGTTTATAATGTATTTCCTGCAGTGAATGTTGGTGCCACGCTGTGTAAATACTTGATTACGTACAGGTGTGTACATTTACATGTATCCGCATTGTACAGTACACAAAAGTCTAGAACGTAAAATGTGCATTTACATGTAATAGGCCAAAATTCAGCAAGAATTTGTACCGCACATGTACGTGGCAAACAAATGGTTGTCGTCTGGACTGTCTTTTGACTATTAAAAGAGGTTGCAATTAGTAAGCAAAAAGGCGTGATGTGGAAATTTTTTTTCCTCATTTTTATACTAAATTTTGTTTTCACTTTTCCGGCCGTTTTATTTGGCTATCTATGCAAACTAATGCATTTTGCACCGTTCCTAGATTTGAACTCTCCTCTCCCACAGCATTGTACAGAAATTGGGGTCTTATAGTAACTCTGGTTGTGAATTTTCCCACTGGTAGTTGTATCCCAACTTCCTAGCTCCCTGGAACATCAAAAGTTCGTCTGAAGGATTTACTACATGTAGCTGCAAGCATTAGTTGCCTGTGCACTATGTACAAAGTGTGCACGTGTGTGTGCATGAACATACATTTTGTCAATTTCCATTTTCTCAAATGATTTTTCTCCTTTCCTTCATTTCTGCGACAGTCATTGAGACATCACCTTGATACAGTCAACTTAGAGACCTCCAAGGATGCAGAAGAGACCCTCCACGCCCCCGTCACGAGGTACACCTCTGTCCCTGTACGGACCAGCCGTAAGAGGAGGCGGAACAAAAACCAAGATGTTAACGGAGGTGAGTTTGTCTCTGTTGGTTTGGCTGGGCAATACACATACCTGAGGAAGTTAAACAAATGTTTGGTTTTTTTGTAGCTTTTTGTGCTTTATGCATTAAAAAAAGAGGACAGCAAGGAAGGGAGGTTCACCAAATCCTGGTTTCTTCTCTCGGTTTCAGGCTTCAGTTTTATGAACTTATCGTATATTGCCGTTGAAAGTTAATAGTGTGAATTTGAATGGGAAATTTTGTTTAAAGAATTCACATCCACATTCAGATTTCACGAGGTGTGAAAATGTTTTTCCACTGGTGTGAAAAACACGAAAATATTTTCCCACTTCTGTGAAAAATTTTTAAAAAAAACCTGTTTTCCCACTTGTATGATTACATGTACATGTAGGTGTGAAAATGTTTCCCTATGTAGAAATTTCTTTCAAACTTTGTGAAATGAAAATGAATTCCCCTGGGAGGAGTAAACGTGTTACAAAAATTTCCCATTCCCTGATTAACTTTCAATTGCAGTTTACTACATGTACATGTATATTTGCGAGATGAGTGCCTCAAGCTCCCAGCAACTTAAATTTCATTTACCTTGTGAATGTGTTTGGTCAGTAGTTTGAGTTCTTTCACATGTTTCCAGTTGTAAACGTCTGAAAACGTTCAGGGTTCAGATATAAAAATAAAGGCAGAGGTCAAGCTGGAAGTTTGGAAATGATGTCGGAAGAGGCCTACAGGTATCTTTTTTTCGGAATATAGTGCATTTACATAGTATATGCTTGGAAAGTACTTGGGTTCAATGTTGGTTCTCGTTTTGTTCCTTATGACCAAAAATACCTGGTTTTACCATTTTCTTTTCATGTTGTGTATAAGGCATGTGCCAGGAATCTGTTGACAAAGCTCACCAGTCACACGCAAAAACACACCTTTGAAAAGGTTGTCAGTTCTGTGGTTTGAGATCTCCCGGAGACGGCTGGTTGGCTCATAATCCCTGCGTGGTTAACACGGCCTGCTGATTACCAGTAGCAAGCCATTGTGCACCAGACTGAAGCACCATCAGAAAATCTGTCGAGCCGATTGGAACGGTGTCAAGTTACTGTCGGCTCTTTCCTTTTTTCAAACATCACTCACCGTCTTCTACTCAGACTTCTGTCAATACACATGTGGATTGCATCACTTTTCATTCCTGTTTTTCTTAGGTGCTGCAAAGAAGCCAATCTTATTTGTCTCTTGGGACATCGTTTGTAGCATCATACTCTTAGACTTATTAACTTTCTCATTAGCTGCCTTGTCCATGTGAATAGAACTTGTACATGTATGTAAATGTTTGTTCAGCTTCAAGCACACAAGTGAAGTCTACTGTGATAAAATTGCAATATCCTTTGACAAAAACACATAAAGTACAAGTGTGGTTCAAGTCATGTACAGTATATGTACAGTGTATGCATTTCCCAGCTTTCTACCTTAAGTGTGTACGCTTCTGCAATTGTCGTGATTCTTGGGATCAACCTTTTGACATTTTCCAGTTGCACACATCACATGCATCAACCAACCAGAACTCATCAAGGCTGGGCCACTATTTCCTGGACTTGTCTTGTATGTATGCCCATAGTGCCCAGTGCTGTTGTTCCAGCGGTCCCAGAAAAGCATCCCAAGTGTTTGCGTAGTCGCTCAAGCCAGCAATCTCCACTGAATGGGGTTGTTTTTCCCCCCCTCATTTGGCCCAGCTGAATTGCTTAAAGGGACTTTCAGTTTTTGTAGTTTCCCTGAAATGTTATCCTGAAATATTTTACCTTACCATACCAGTATGTTCCCAAGACAATTTGAATTCTGTTTACAAAACTACATCATTTTTATTACAACGGGTACAGTACATGTACATGTAAAATATACTAGTATGTGGTAAAAATGCAGTCTTTCTGATTAGCCCTAACCCTCCCAGGTCCTTCAAAATCCATTAAGTTTGGGAGGACTATGAGTTTAAGAAGGTACAGGTACATGTACAGCATTACTTTCCGTGGGACTTGATGGTCATCAAAAGTTCAGTAGCATTGTTTTCCCGCACAGTGGTTGAACTTGGAGAATTTTGAATTGTTTCCAGCAAAACACTCTCCATGGAATTACATGTGTAATCATAATCATTGTTCACATACTTGCAGATGGGCTGGGTTAATGTGTTCAGTATGTAACATCAAGTTAAAAGTTGACGTGTTTATATGCAGCAGGAGGAACGCACCTACATGTATATAGGCTATCATGCATCAGCAGCTGTTTTGTACATTTTTCCTTGCTTCGTTGTTGACACTGTGCAAACAAGTGGAGGCTTAAACCTGTTGTGGAAAAGCCTGATGCGTGTAAAGTTCTTAAATGAAATAACACTGATGGGGACAAATGAAAATACTTTTGCTCGTACACAAAACATGTGTCAGGCCAAAAACAGCACCTTCACTGTGTGCGTAATAATACATGACAAAAATACATGTATCAAGTACATGTACCAGTCCTTTCGCTGTGATTAATACATTACGGTATGGTACATACATGTACACATGGTACGTCTGTGGTCATTTTAGAGAGCAGTACACACAACACAAATTTTGACTTGGAACAAAGCAGTTCAAGTTGAAAACCATAAATAAAGTTTCTTTTTTTCTGCTTTCAGCATGCACTTGTTTCACAGCTTTTGTGGTAGATTCTTAGATGGTTAAAAATCAGGAGTTATGATGTTAGCGGCCTAGTGGTTAGGATTTGTAACTTCCAATCATGAGGAGTTCGAATCCTGACAAATGGTCACTGTTATGACCTTGGGCACGTCACTTCAACTCTGTGTACTACAGGGGTGCGATTTCTCAGCTTTTTAGCTGATTGCATCTTTTTTTGTGTGGGATTTCAGCTTTTTTTCCTCACTGGCTGTTTACAAAAGTATAGAAGATTTTCACAGTTCAGCTTCTTTATGGCTTTTTTCAGCTGTTTTCAGCTAGTTTTATCATTGGTCAATCTCACCCCTGGTACCAGTTCCTTCTCCACCCATGGAGCTTCATGCTCCACCCACGGGTGCCTTCAAAGGCAGGTGTAGCAGTGCTCAGCCATTTGCGCCTGAAATGGTGCCATTGGGCCACTCCCATTAACCCTAACCCTACATAATACTACAAATTACTACTTGTACTTGTAGTAAATTTAAAATGTAGTAATCAGTGCTGCCGCTTGTAAGAGGACATGACCGCATTGTTCTGTGAAGCCATAAAATACCATAGAAAAGACAATGTACCATACAATGCTGTGGCACTATGAATGCATGGCTTTATTGTTCTCTGTATGAGTGACAATGGAAGTAACCTAGCCAGAAGTAGTAATTTGTAGCGCTAGGTCCTTCAGGCTCAGGCTATTACTTAGTATTTTGTAGTACTGAGTACTATAAGCCAAACAATATGCTTGGCGGTTAGGGTTAAAGCTGAGATGGTTTCAGGAATATTCAGATGTGTGGGCCAAATGAACAAGACATGTACATGTACAGTGTCTGCATCTTTAAATGCCAGATACTGTCATATACAGATAAGGTGCACCTCATAAATGCTGTGATATGATGACTCTGACATTCCTGTTCCAACTTCTGAACGATGGGTCACAGTGGAGGACATCAGACACACTCTTTAACTTCTCCCTTTGCTAATCATGCAGTCTCTGGTTTGAGGACCGTCAGAGGGCTCCAAGGCATGGAGGAGGCAAACCAGAAAATGACAAACGTGCCCAAGCAAGGAAAAAAAAAGAGTGAATGGTTGTTGACCGAGTAGGGACGCCCTCCGGCGAGGGATGGCATTTTGATCCTGCGCCCACAACCATCATCAATTACATGTATTCCCCGTCCTCCGTGTCCATTTCTCGCCCCGCGTGGATGGACCGATGGCTGCCAGTGGCATTCTCTTCATTGGATTAGAAGTGGGCACAAAAACTGTTTCAGTCACGATAGGTTCTTGTGAAGTGATGACATCAGTGGGATCACAAACAAGAGTAACTGTATTAGACCCACTTGCCACTGTCTACCAAAAAAATGAAAGTGCTGCAAATAATTTGTCAGTGTCATTGGCCTGGAATATGTGCAACTAATACCAGTAACTACACTGTAAATATCCTACACATACATGTACATTGTTTCTTGTGAATGTCTAATTAAAATCAACTATTATCCCTGAGGGGCGAGAAAATTATATCAGTTGGGTAACGGGGTATTAGGCAACAGATACTTGTTTTTATTGCATTTAGATCTCTGTCCTACTTAACCCTAAATCTAAGGGTGCTGTAGGTCAAACTCGTGTACCATATGTTCCTTCCTGCCTGGTTATACTAAAGTGTTATTAATTTCTTAGCTGAGTTCCTGGCATTGTTTCTTGAGTGCCTTACAAATTTGACTTTCTTTCTATCAAATGATCTGGCATCTCCCGAAACAACATTAATTTGCTGCCTACCACCCTGATTAATGCACTGCGCTTGTGCAGTCCAGCGGGCAGGTTAGCTTAGCTGTTTAAGATCTTTGCCACACAAGGGTTCTTACAGTACGTACTGGTAGCAGTCATTACTGTTGTGTGAGGGAGCAAGAAATGCTGCAGTGTGCAGTACATGTACGTGTACATTGTACGAACACATGCATGGGCAGGTACTTGACGATGAGCAGTATATTTGCAGGAAAGTGCAGGTCTCTTTTTAATGAAAATTAAGAACAGGAAGGCTAGACAGTAGGCTGATGGGGATAGAAGCTCTTGTTTCCGATGAATAGGGAACGTCTTTTGGATGGTTAGGGCCGTTGAGGTACATGTACATCACGTTTTTGTTTGAAAAGCCAACATTGCTAAAAATTTGAAGAGAGATGCACAAATTTCCAAATGAAGTTTAAGTTCTTTGGATAACAACTTAAAAAAAGCAAACACACCAACAAAGAAAACCCCACTATTCCTGGGTCTTCTGAGTAGATTCAAAATGATGCCTTGTCATATTTTTAAATGTCTCCAACCAACCAAAAATTGTAGGCACAATAATCCAATTAACTATATGTACATGCACGTACCTCTTTGACTGTAGGATATTTAAAGCTTACAAAAATGCATGTGTATCAGGTTAAGACTGCATGCAAAATTGTCTCTTCTTGTTCATCCAAATTGTTTTTAAAAAGTGCCAAATCATACGTTCTTAGAAATGACCCTGGTTTTCATTTTTTGGTATATTTCCAAACTTATTCATGTAGCTTACCAGATGGAATACATGTACATGTGACTTCACAAGGAGTTTAAGTGCAATGACTGTCCTTATTTAACCGAATTTGTAATTTGGTTATCTAACCATGGACAAATAAAAATCAGCATCAGTGGAACAGAACCTCAACCTGTACCTGTATTGTACATTGTACTTGGCCATCAATCTACAATGTACATAATATTTTGTTTATTGCATTAACGAGTTACACATGTACAACTGGCTCACAATTTTTTACAGTCTTTAGGAAAGTGCTATAATCCTTTGGTCAAATCTTTCATACGGGGCAAATGCATGGTTCTTGATACATGTACGTGTGGCTTGTACACAGTGTCATTGAGGGGGTATGTACATGTACATTTAAATTAATTATTCATTGATCCAATTACTTGTGCACCTGAGGCCCACCTGCGAGTAGAACGGGACTTCTTTCCAGACAAGATTGAAATTAATTCTAATGAGATATTAGCTCCCTTCGTGTGTTGAACCCAAACACACGCAAGCCAGACAACGACGTACATGTACATGTACCAGTAGGAACTGTTGCACTATGGGTTTCACCATGCATGGCTTAATGCAGTGCGCCATCCACATGCATTTACGCTCCTTGGATGTGTCAGAAACAGTTACACATCCATGAGCATAGAGGGCCGTTTTCCAATACTCGACTTGGGCTCTGTCTGAGGCTTCGACTGTTTTTTGTTTTTTTTACTTCCTGACTCTGAGGTTGTAAGCGCAAAAGTAAATCTCATAGTGCCACAAAACATCAAGTAAGATGCCAAAGAGCCAAAAGTTACAGTACTTCAATTCAAGTTAAACGCTTCAGGCCCACAATCGGGGATTGGTTTCCTACACAAAGCCTGAGACGGAGGCGAAGTTGAGTATTGGAAAACGGCCCATGTGTGAGGTGAGGTAGTGCAATTAAAATGATGCTTTGATACAAAACCAGCAAAACCACTCATGGTTCCTCATGTGTTGTACATGCGGGCTCTGAAGAAAGCAGTCCGACGCAGAGCAGAACACTACAATGCATTTCATCACTGGTTTATTCCGAACACCACAAAATAAAAGAGTTGCTGAAAAGTTGTGTCAATGTTGAAAACATACATGTACATTTATGTACATGTTCCAATACTGCGGAATACATATGGAGTCTTAGAACTTCTTTATCCAAACCTGTATTTTTTCCTCTGCCTCCCGAACAATTTCAAAATGTATCACTGATCACTAGTGTATCAAATGACTTCGTACAGCTAATGTGGCTCCTGACATGTTTACATGTATCCGGCTGTCCTCTTCTTGCTCTTAATGTTCCTTAGTAGTCTCACAAGCATGCACATACACATACATGTACTGTACCTGTAAGCCACTTCTTAAAATGTGTTTCTGACATCACCGTTTTCATAAATTGGACGTGATAGAACTGTGATGGAATGACCTTTTCTTAAAAGCAACAATTATTGTGCGGAGGAAGGAAATTTATGGCAATCACTTGAGTTTATTAGTAGCTGAAAGCACTTTCTGAGAGGGATCAGAGAGGGAAAAACCGTGGCAAATGAGCGGTCAGAATGAGTGCCCTCTTTACTTCTGTGATTGATAGAGGTGGCAATGGTGTTAGACGTCTCAGACTATACAATCCATATTATTAAGTATTACATGCAGTATAAAGGGGGAAATTATACGTTATATGAGCATAACATTCTTGTCCCTCATTTTAAAACCAAAAAGACACAGAAAAATTCAGACGGGGCATTTTTTTTCCAATCGAATGTCACTGACAGTTTGCCATCATTTGTTCCCCAATTGTCGTGTCAGGTGACCTAAAAGAAGATGCAATGTACGTGTATTATATTTTGGGATGTGTCTGAGCTTCGGTCAAAAGAATGACAAATTACATGCAAATCATGCCGTCATACCAGCTCAGAACACTTCACATACATGTGTCCCAATTCTTAATTTTTTTATTTACAATGCTCCACTGAAAATATCAGGCAATCTTCAGTATGAGGTCAGTGTATAATTGTGTAAAAAATCACTGTAAACTCTTACACATTCATTATGTATTGCCAAAACACATTTTGTGGTACTGTCTTTAAAACAGTGAATGATACTGTACAGGTAGTTTTAAAATAATATTGTTAGCAACAAGGATGTATGCAGCGGGGCACAGAACCAAAATTTTGCCAATGTGCCGTCCCCTACTGGTACATGTGCAAAACATGCTGAAGACAAGCAGAATACCAATGAAATGTGCACTGAACCTGTATACCGGTACATGTACCTTAAAGAAGTATGATACCTCAATCAATTTTTGAAAAATTGAAGACATTCCATCTTGATATATTTTGCAACCTCAACCCATAAAACCCAACTCCAGAGGGAATCATTCTACAAGGAACCGTTCTGTGATTACCCGCGCAACCACCTTCCCATCATCGTCAAGGAGTTCCTTAGTGGTGCGTTCAATGATACGTTGCCGGATGATTTCGGTCTCTCCACTCCCTCCGTGTGGAGACGTCTGCACTGCCACCTCTTGACAACTCATACTAGGACTTGAATCTAATGTCATACCGGATGGAACCTCAGCAGTCTCTGGGTCCGAATACGGCATGCTGGCAAAGGACACCCTCTTGCGTTTGGGGCTCACCACAGGTGGCTCAACGGGGTCTGGCTGATCGAGTTCTTCTTTCAGGTTTTCAAGTACATTAGCCAGCATTTCCAGAGCTCCTCCATGAGCTTTCCTCAGATGTTTCTCCATGTCGTGCTTCCTGATGAAAGTCTTGGAGCACCGCGGGCAGTTCAGTTTCTCCTTGCGAGTGTGCTGCTCTTGCACGTGACGCCGTAGGCTGGTTAAAGAAGAGAAATCTTTCTCACACTCTTCACATTTTTGACGTTGGGATGAGCCTGCCCCCCTTAGAGACCGAGTGTTGGCTGCATCCATCTTTAACTGCAAAGATCAAGCATGAATTACAGAATCAGTACTTTGCAACAGTTCAAACTGCCACGTGTGCAAGACTGACGATTTGCTGTTACATGTAAGATTCCATCCACTCTAATTTGCACAATTCTCCAATCATGTAGGTTTATAAGTTTACCTACCTACATGTACGTACCCGAGATCAAAAAGAACTTAATGGCAATTAATGACTTAGCAGACCAGGTCAAAATGGTATTCACATGAATAGCGCCTTGTATCTGTTCATATCTGTGCTGCTACAGTTTTTTGGGGAAACCAGAAATAGGGGAGTGGGGTTTTTACAAGCAAACTGGTATTTTGGCATGCTGTACAATTAAATACATGTTCCTGTAGGTCATCACTTTTTGTAGTCACTGTAATACAGTACAAAATGGGCAGTATACATGTAAACGACCAGTGCCCAATGTACAAGTACAAGAGTACCCAAGTATGTACATGTAGGTGGCAGTTGCCAATGCAGGGAATTTATCTGAGGATCCCTTTTTGTGCCTTTTTAAACTCTTCTTCAGAGTATTATTCTTATTCAAAGAAAACTGTTCGACATCCTCTTAGAGTTACATGTGAGTGAACTGTTTTTGAAACGCTTTTTGAAACATTCAAAATTGACCAAGCTTTTCAGGACAAGTAGAGGGCACTGTTAGTATGATGGAAATCCAGGAAGACACTGTTCAGTTTGCCTGTTTTCATGGTCAAAGTTTGAGCCCTGAATTTGCTCTTTGAAACATTTCTGAGGAAATGCTGCTCACCGGCTTTTTTGCCATACTCACATGTATATACAGCAGTAAATTACTAAAAGAAATGGAATTTTTGAGAGTGAAGTACAAAAAAATCGAGCAATTTTTTGTGCTCAAATTGAGGTTCAGTGCCTCAGATTACATCACAGTTTGCTTATAAATATGCAAATCTGAATTACCATAAAAAGCAAACAGGCCCCATAAACACTGAAAAATAGCAGAACAAAACTTTAACATGAGATTAATTTAAACACAAAGGTGCAATTTGAAGGATTTTATTAAAATATTTCTATTACATGGTCCCTTTACCTGTCTATACCCCCAAATAAAAGCTGCACCTAGTATGTAGAATTCAACTCTGCCAAGTGGAGTATCCAGATGTGAGTCAATGGGTGCGAGGCAACCCTTATTCGCTAAACCCAAAACAAAATCAACAGAAATAAAATGAAAACAAAAAAATACATAACTTACATCACCAACCCCAAAAACCTTAATGAATGTTCTTTGAAATTTGCAGCTTGGGCACGGAGTCAATTGTAAAACTCAAAAACAAAGCTCATTTCACTGCATTTATTTCTTGTTCATAACTTGACATAAACTCAATCCTTCAAAACATCAAAGAAACACATCACTTGCACATGTTGAATTGACAAGACAAAAATTCCATGCACAGTTAACAGCAGTCAGCCTCCCTTCACCCATTTCATTTGTCCTAAAGTCCATTTCCTGTGTACCTGCGCATGCTATACGAACTCCGACACTTCTTTTTCGACCATCAGAATGCATTTGCTTTTTAGGCATCGGAGTGGTCGGTATCTAATTTCTCATGTCTGTACTTACCTTTCCTTTCTGGTGTTGCTTTATGAGTGTTTATAAATGAGTTGCATGTTTGTGTGAATGTGTGTCTTCAGTTAACCGCGTACGGTGGGCTCGGGGTACGTTACTGCTTTAATTCAGGTTCGAAACAAGTGCATAATGTTGGTACCAAACAGTCTAGCATCCATTGGCACTCAGTACATCTGCAAACACATCCGGCCGGCAGGCCGCTGGCTCGGTTTACCAATTCAATACAATGCTATGCACATGCAGCCGGCTGTCTAAACCTGCAGCGTGTGTGCAGTATATACTATACATGCACACATACATTATGCTACACCGGCCGGTTCAGTGCACCTGATAACCTCTAACATAGTCTCTCTTTCTAGTCGCTAAGAAGATTAGACCCTCTTTGTAACGGACCAAACAACGTCTCTGTTGCCCCTGTGGCTCGAATTTGCATTTGAGTGCCTGCATTTATAGGCATTGATTAAGAAAAAAATACATAGCTGTCAATGGAAAAAAACGACAGACGCAAAGCCCACTAGAGATTCTGCATGGCAGCCATTTCTCCAGTAAGAGCTTTTGTTCCACAGGGATACAGATGAATAGACCTTTTGTACTAGCCCTCCACGACAAAAGTAGTTACCAGAAAGATGTCTGCCATGCAGAAACTCTATGAGACAGAAAGCTAAATCTCCTTGGAAACTTTATTTCACCGAGTTAAAGTCAAAAACTGCACTTTTCTGTTGTACATTCAGTTTAGAAAAGCGAGCCTTTCAGCAAGATTAATCATTATTATGGTTGGTCCGGTAACTCTGGCGCTCTTTTTTCCTTCAAATTTTGATATTTTAATTGGGTGGTCAGACCATAGCATGTAGGCCACCAGATTCAGCTTGAACTTCAGCTCACTATGCAACGTATAGAAACGTGGAAAAATGGCGATGAATACTTAAGTTAAGAAATACCTTAATTCTAAATAGCCTACCATTCCTTTTCAACATGTCAAAGGAGAACTACTGCGAATTGAGTGGGATGATGATCATTTCTTGTGGATTTAATCGATGAAATTGGACTTCGATTAATACGTTACAGTCAAACTTCATTTTAGTAAGAGCACGGTCAATACAGTATTCTGCTAACAACAAGGGAAATTTCAGGGCCCAATCCTTTTTCTTCATTGTTTTCATTCCTGATAATACAAGGTTCCTGTTATATTTGCAAAGTCTGAAGGACTTCTTATTAACGAGGTTCAAGTTTACGACTATTTGTTGTACCAGTGGATTTTTTTTCAACTATTCAAAATTATAGGACAGTTAGACCCGACATTTTCAAGTAAAATAGATTCAGATATATTTCATAGCGGGGGAATCCATTTTATGTTTGACACATGATTCTCGCTGACATTATCATGTCCCTATAGGCCAGTTCATACTTCAGGCATATGCAGAAACGGAAGCGAATTCGACATCAAGAAAAATTCCATCTAACGACCTCAAAGTCAGGTGGTGAAAAAATAGATGGAGCCTGAGACAGGCTTGAAGAAATGATGTCATGCATCTGTAATCACGCCGTCCATCCCAGCGCCCTTATTGGTTGTTTTCAGTAATAAGTTGATAATTATGCGAGCATGTCATGGCCGTGGCGGCAAAATGCGTGAGCGGTCCATTAAAAATATGCAGCACAGGAGTACAAATTTCAAGGCCATATACCCACAGGTTCCACAGAATTTTCAATTTTTCTTTCATAAAACCCTCTGAAATCATCTACATGTACTTTTGGATCAAATGAGTTTTTGGGAATACAGAACATGTCAAACATTGTTAGCAGGTACCTGTATTAATGATGTCACAGATTATTTTATACGCATGTCGTGAATGTCTCGCGGCGTCATATAGGCCAGTTCATACATGGCTCGAAAGCGAGTACGAACTCAAAATTGTTTGGTCAGATCACATATATGCGGTGTAAATTCACAAAAATTGAACACACATAACCCCAGCGATCTTCGATGCAATCATTTCATGATTGGCTTCTGTTTGACACTTTCCATACATACATGTACATGTATTATGAACCATACATGCACGGGCGCGAAGCAAAAGGAACAGGCTCTCGAAACAGTTGCCCCGGAATATGTTGGAGTTTTACTTTAGGGAACAAACATCCTTACACAGCAATACCTATGGGGTATTTCCTTTGTTCTCATGTATAAAACTCCCACACAACATGCCAAAAATTTCAAATCACTCCAATTTAAACCAAATTCACTTTCCTGGGTTGAAATTTTGACCGTGTGTCCCTTACATGAAACACTTTAATTTTACCCATCAAAAATTTTTGAGTTATTTCCAAATATAAGTTTCATGAAATTCTTGTGGGATACCAATTTTGGTACCCCACAAGGTAAAAACTGGTCTTGTGGGGTACTTCCCATTGTTCTGGTACCCCACAAGGCCCCACGTATAAGCGCACCAGTTCTGATGAAAGAAAAGTTGTGTTCTAGATAATACATGTGTATAGGGTTTGGACATGTGGGGGGGTACCCCTCTGTCCCATATCTTGCCAAGTATAAGATCTTTTTTCCGGGTATGGACAATGGGTTTTTGTCAAAGTGCAGTTTACGTCGTTGAGTGGTTTTGGACTTTACAGTAGCTCATTAATTTCTTGAAATGTTCAAGTTAGACATTTACTCATAATCTGTTGTCAATACATCTCACGTACACAGTGAGATATGGAGAAGATTATATCCACCATTGGGAGTTCACAAGATACATTGTAACTCTTTTGTTTTCTTTTGCAGGAGGGCATCTTCGTTTAGGGTTTGATTCTTGAATGATTTGAATTATTCCTTCGGAAAAAAACACATTGGTTAAATTTTGGAGTAACATCTTATTTTCATTTTTACATTTCTTCACAAGATTTCTTTGTGACTCTGCGAACAGTGTCATCGTTGTCCTGCTTTGGAGGAACTCTTAGCAATAATGGTACGCCGCATGCTAGTGCCGCAGCCGTTTGTTCTCTGTCATGAATGCATACTCAAGGCAGTTCCAGTCAGGGAAAGTGATAGCAAGTGGCAGCAAGTTCTGATTTGGGAGAAACCTAACCAATTTCAGACAACTACATTCTAAAAAATGGAAAATGTACATTTTAAACCAGAATATACTTGAACTGCAATAATGTTAAGTTTCAGGCAATTTTGGGTATCATTTGGTCTTTTATTCAGCAGTGAATCAAAACACAGTTCACAGGGTTTGTTGTTAATATTTTGATAAAAACAGACAGTCATTTAGCATCGGACAAATTTGAACAGAAATTCAGTTTCTGTGACTGGAATAGCAGTGTACATGTATATTGGTGTGTGCATTTTGTACCAGGAGTTGACCTGAGCTTTGCGCAGCTTATGTTTGTTGTGATGTTTGGACTGTACTAGTAGTCATCTTTAAATTAATCATTGAAAGACTACATGTCTCGAAGGTAAATTTTCTTTATTTCATCTGGTTGTGTCAGTGGGTGACCTTGAGATGCTTGGTGGTGGCAAACATACTGGTCCTTTTTACCAGTTCTGAGCATGCGTGCGTTGTTTTGAATAGGCGTGCATAGTTCTGAGCACAAGCAATACCTTGAAAAAGGACTGGTACGTGTTGTCTGCTGCCACCAGCGTCTCAAAGTCTCCCATTGATCAGGTGTTATGAAGTTGTTAGTCATATTATGTATGATTGTCAGTATTATTGTTCAAGCCACAGATATTTTTTTTTCATATTATTTTATCCTTTTCCCTGTTCCGAGGTTGTTTCTGTCTTGATGTACATGTACTTACATTACGAGTTTGATGTATTCTTTTCCATGGCACTTTTGTTGACACAACAATTTTTTTCATTAATCCTCTGCGCCATGTTTAATTTACATGTCCTGTTGCAGTGAACATGTACTATGTTGGTTAATGCTAAGATATTGCATGAAATACAATGGACAGACATACTTTTTTTTTCAACAATGTCTGTCATTGTTACTGCAATGATAGTTGCTTCAAACAGTGTGTACATGTGCAGCCCAACCCTCCCCCTCCCCCATTCTGCATCATCCAATTTTCATTCACTGTTTGAAAAAAGAAAGTCATCTTGAAGGATTCATTAATTCAGTGCCCAGATAGGACACTTTTGTCCACCATAGTTTGAATTCAAGCTCCGGTATGTGCCAATGTCACTGGTATTCTGCACAGTGTTAGATTCTTAAATTTCATGTCAAAAATACCCAAGTTGCAGAGAACGTTTAAGGGTTAATGAATTGAGGTGAGTGGTATCAAATGTCAACAGGGTTCATCCTGAAGTGTCCAGAAAAAAAAAGTTTGATTGATACTTTAAGATGAGTATTCTGTATTTTCTGTTGAAATGTATTCCGAAAAAGTACAACTTCAAAAAGAAATAGAAAAAAACAACAACAGAAAGTAGTGGTCCTGGAGTGGAAATGCACTGACCACCCTATGCAGCAGCTGCACTTTACCTGTTCAGTTTTGGTACAATTTCCATTTTGTAAAACTCGGAATTGTAGCTTGTAGTTGTTTCCTCTGCAGTCTCCAATAAGGCACCAGGACCTCCACGGACGACATCAGAAATCAATCCTGCCAGCAAATAGCGAATCTACCTCCATTGTTCAGCCTCTGCTGAATATTGGTCCAGGCACATGCCTTCATTCATGTACATGTAGTAGAACGCATGCTTTTGTGAAGAGTGCCTGCCTGTCTGGGCCATCACCGCAGTAGATGGCTTCAACTTTCATTCCGCTGGAATAAAAAGCGGGAAATTAACACAGATGTTATTTGCCGCTGTACAAGATTGCCAGCTGTTTCTGGTGGAAAAGGGGGAAAAGAAAGAAATTAATACTGAGACCTGAAGAAACCCAACCCTTTCTTCCCCGCCAAGAATTAAAATTGGTCAGCTGAATTCGTGTTGTATCACAGTGATATCGGTACATGTACCATAGTATATGTCGTGATGTTGAATGCAGACTTTCTTTTTATCTACCGGTGTGTCTTTTACTTTGTTATTGTACATGTACACGTGTGCTGTCTGAGTGTTGTTTGAAACTTTTTCACTCTGCCTTTAATTAGTGAGGGCGTCTGAAATATATTGATTTTGAATGTGACTTCGTAGATGTTCCAAGGCTTCGCTTTGCAAAGAAATTGATGTCCCAATGGCGTTCTTGTCATCGTTGCATGTACATGTATGTACAGCCAGTTGCATTGTACATGTATTGCGCATGCCAAGTTATACTCATACCGATATGCGAGTACATGTACATGGTGAATGAGCAGTTCATAGAGGGATACAACTGAGGATTTCAAGATTAGTTTTCACCCAGATGATGAATATTTACTGCATATCATCCATAAAAAAATAATAACATTATGTCAGCCTCAAGTCTAGTAACGAAAAGTGCCTTTGTCCTTGAAGAAAAGGTCCTTGCATTAGTTATTCTTCAGCAAGTTGTCAGTTTGTATAATGTAACTTGAGGGAAATTCTGGTTTCACTTTTCCTGACCAAGATGTCTTGTTGACTTCTTGTCACAGATGAGTATGAAGAGCTGCACTACACCAGCTGCAATTGCAGCAACAACATCAATCTGCAGCCCATCCAGGTCAAGTTGCTGTGCGGAGCAGACCTCCTGGAGTCCTTTGCTGTACCTGGACTCTGGAAGGATGAAGATGTATGATGGAATTCTTATTCCATTCTTGATCTGTGTTTCAAAAACTTTGAGAAGTATCACAAGTTCATGTGGATTTGCTGTTTCATTCTTTGCTTCCGCCCAGAGTGTTTATAATACTTGAGCTTATTTTACTGTTCACTTTTCTTCGTTCTTAAAACTATTCAAAAAATATTAAGTCCGAACCGAAGCTTTTGAAATTTTGCCACTGTCTTGGATTGAAAAGCTGAATGTGACCAACTCCAGACAATTTGCAATTACATTTAAACTGCAGTTGTCATTTATGCGTGTCATTTACATTCTGAATGAAAATGGCTTTTTGTGTTGTCCTTTTTTCCCCTAGATGACCGAAATTGTGAAGAAGTACGGCCTGGTTGTAATCAGCAGATCAGAGTCCAACCCACACAAGTTTGTTTATGAGTCAGACCTACTGTACAAGTATCAAGTAAGCAAGAAACAAATGTTTATCAGGAATTTTTTTTTGCATCTTTATTAAAGCTTCATACTTGGTCTGTTAAGTGTTCTGACTCGGACCTCAATGTCAGGTTCAAGCCATGAGACATGAAGATAAAGTCAAAGTTTACCTACAAGTGTCTGGTTTCTCAGCAAAAATCTATACAATGCAAATGACAATAAGCTGTAAGAATTATGTGATACATGTACCTTTGCATGTAACTGCATCTTAACTGCTTTTAATAAGTTCTGAAAACACATGGCATTTCTCTGCCGTAGTTACATTTTTTTAAAACTGCATGTTTTATATCTATATTTTCTGCACTGATTGAAAAGTGATACCGGCATACATGTAATCTATTGCCACCATCTGACCTTGTGGCTTGCAGCATTCACAGTGGCAAGTTAAACAGAGCCCCCTCCGCCATCTGCCTCCAGTGACCCACTCCTTGAAACAAGGACCACTTGTGATCACTTGAAAATCAAGAATTGAGCCCTTCGCTCAGTTCTTAGTCAAATTATGTTTTTTTCTCCCTTGTATTTTTGTTGCAGAGCAACATTGACATTGTGACGGAATGGATTTTCAACGACATCAGCTCCACCAAAATCAGGTGAGTATACAGAATAGGAAGTCTTTAAGCTCCCAACTTGGCTTTATGTTGGTGCGTTTCATTAGTGCATATAGTTTGTTGTAGGATTTTTTTTAGCTCTTTTTTTTGCACTCAGCTCCTTGCATTTCCAATATTCGGGGTCGAAGATGTGTTCAGAAATATTTAGCTCATAATTAACTGAGACAACTGCTTATTTTGATTCACTTAAAGATTTGGTCAACCTAGGACAGATTGCTTGCACCTGTCCTCTGAAAACATGGACAAAAGATGGCTGCAAACACCTATTGCCTTCAGGATGGAACATGATTGTTAGGAGAAATTTTGGGAATGGGACGGGGGAGCAACCTGATTTATTTCCATATCCTGTTGCATGTTTATACAGAAAAAGTAAAGCAAATGAATCATGTCTCAGCCTGTTCGTGAATAAGTTTCCAGTTGGCAAATTTGAAATCACAGCCAAGGTTTCAGCTAAATGCACATGTTTTTCAGCCGCTTTTTTTAACCCAGTGCCGACTACAGTTTTTTTCCACGTAAATTGGTCAAATTTATTGCCAAAGTTTTGTAAGTACTGGCCATTTAGTAGCAGTGGCATACAACCCTCCATGAATAAATTCCAAACCCCAGAGTTGATGACATGCATCCTCTCTTGTTTCCCTCGGCACAGGCGAGCACTGCGACGGAAGGAGAGTATCAAATACCTCGTTCCCGAGCCCGTCATCAAGTACATCGGGGACAACAAGCTGTATGAGATGGAGGACAACAACGCCGAGAAGAAATAGCCAAACACATGTAGCATTAATTTATTAAGGCAATAATGTGCACATGTTTAGATGCTGCTAGATGCTTAAGTGTTGATATAATGTGGCTAATTTCATGGAAGAGTTGCATATGTGTCCCTCAGTGGTACTGCTCCTTACCCACTACACGTAACTCCTTCATTGAAATTGTAACCCATATATTGTAAATAGACTGCTTGTGCTAGTTACAAGTTACCTCTCATGTTGGTATTGCTGACTTTAATTCTACCATACATTACAATGGTGTATGAATCCAGACGAAGCAAGAATTTGTAGACTAAGTTGTATTTGGAGTCTTCTGTAGACGTTCATTTTTCTGATGAATGCAAAAAATCACTCCCCCCCAAAAAAAACTCAAAAACAAAAATTGAATCCTTTTAAAACATCAGAAAATGTACCAAAAAGGTGGTACGCATTTCTGCCTATCCATTTCCTCAAATGTTTGTCATCCCCTTTCCAAAAATCCTATCCAAATGTAAAAACCATGCCTGTTATTACAAATTTGTCTTTGTGTTCTTTTATGGAATGTTAAAGATGAAGCAATAGATTTGGGACATGACTCTTGGAAATGAGCTGCACAAGTACATGCAGTTGTCAGAATAATGATCGAGGTTCTTTGCAATATTTAAAATGGTTACTGAAAATCATGTGCTTTTGTACAAAGAGAAGATCATATTTTTTAAAGCTCTCGTACGTAAGAAAGAAGAAAAGCCTAAGAAAAGAAGACATTCAACTTTGGGAGCATCTCAAGTTGGAATGCCATAGGATGTTTGAACGAGAACTGTAATTATTTCAATTGATGTCACCCACTCTTCCTAATAGGGGAATCCTTGCCAGGGACTTTGAACTCTTTGCTTAGGACTGGTCTATCCTCAACAGGAACCTGGAAGAATTTCCCAGCGGAACTCAGTATTCCATGAAAGAGCATCCAGGGCAAACAGGAACAGTCTGGCTTTACTAAGATATTCACTTCGTTCACCACATTGCAAGAAGTCCCTCCCTAAAGATCAAGATTCGGTCTATATAGATGCATTAAAATTTAACACCTTAAAAACCAACGTACATATAATTCTTTCCCATGTTACAGAAACAATTATTAAAGTTTCAATTTGATCATCAAATATGGCTAAGTGATTTAGCAGTTGTAATAGGGCTTTAATTAAGTGAAAAGAAACAAAATACTGCCTACTTCAATAATTGTGATCTGTACTGTACTTTAACCCCAGTGGAAAATTGATATTATTTACATGTCCTGCCTCTGTATTTGTGCATGTACATTTTGTCCAAGTGCACAAGCCAAGTTTCTAATTGCATTTGTCATTGGCCTTGCAATAGTCTGAATGTAATCTCCTAAAATACAAGTCTCAACTTGATCTTTACTCTGCAATTTTAAATTTGAGATGTTGATTGCAAAAGAGATATCATATTGTTTTCCAGGCTCATTTTATGCTACAGGTTTCAGGTTTTGTCTGCATGTAGTCACTGTTATATTAGGCAAGAGTGTTTAATTGTTTTGAGAGGTTTTGTTTATATAGGGTATGTTTTGGTCAACCGAAGCAATTACATAAAGTTTCATGACGCTGGTATAGTGACTGTGCATTGTACTCAATAGTAAACTGCCTTGACCAATCAGTTTCTCATTGGTAAAGGCACAAAAGTTTAGAAACATGCTTGACGCAAAGAAATCATTTTTCCGGAGGATGTAACATGTAGTACTAAATTGGCATTCCTAGAGGAAGGTGCTCAATTCTACATGCATCCAACAAACAGTACCACCTTGTGTTATATTGACTCATTGGCCGTTGGCCTCTGTCTCTGTGCGGATCTGCAGCTAGGTCTCCGTCAGATTGAATGCTACATTCTTCCATTGTGTATGGTGACAGTACGATGGGTCCTGTCTACTGTACAAAATACCAGTGTAAAATATGTTTGCGTTACCACAGCTAAATCAATGCAATGTACATGTATATATGGTACCTAGAAACATTTGTATGAAGGATTAATTTTTTTTAACCGTCTTTCTTTTGGGACATTTCTGAGAGATGAACGAGTTTGGAAACTGCAGGACTTTGTTGCAGTAATTCACCATTTGTCAAATTCAGTAGCGTGTATTAATAGAATATTGCATGGGGATACGCTACCAGCTCACACCTCTCAGATATTTCTAAATATAAGTAACTTTGGGGGCCCTAAACTCTCAAAGAAAAGTGCTTCAGTTGCCTGATTTTCATCCCAACTTATGATTTTTTTTTTAGAGAGATGGTCCTGTCAGGTGTAATTAACAGAGGGTTTGCTAATCCAGAAATTTATTGGTAACAAAGGTCTGCCATGAGTGTGGGTGTATTCCAGTTTTGCTAACATTGGATATAAAGCAAGCTGCTGTCTGGTTTTGTAGGCACACTTTTTGTCGCTACAAGTTACTGTTCAGTTGTTAGGTTCTTGGAGTCAGAAACTTCAAGATTTCAAAGTTGATGGAGTTGAGTTCTAAAAAACTGTCAAAAAACTATGTGTGTTTATTTTATTTCATTCACTATGGTTCAGTGAAATTGTCATGTTTATCTGTTATGTTTCGTACCTTTTAATTTATAACCAATCATCTTTCCATGAAGTGTATTGTGTAACTAATTGTTCTGCCGAAATGGTATCTTTTTCTCTTTCGATTAGTAGAAGGGTTCGGATGGGTTTGGAGTATCGTTGGCCCTGTCCTTCCCACCTCTAGTAGATCTTTCATTGGCCCAGTGCATGAGCATAACTTTTTTTAACTGTAGCTTAACCCATTTAGTTGTTTTTCTGCCGAATTAACACATTTGCACATAATAAGTATATCTTGTGTGTACATATGCATCCATACAGCTGAAATGGGAACTGGTAAATAGAAATTTTTGTTTTGATTATGGATGTATTTAACTGTGATTTCTGTAAGAAAAAAAAATATATATATGACTTGTGGTGGGAGAGATCTACTGATAATTTTGTTGTGCTTGGAAAAAACTTTCATTTGTTAGGAAAGAAGGTTGGAGAAAAACAAGATTTTTATTCAGATGGTGCTTAAAAATAGCCAGATGTATGCTAGCTGCCATTTAAGGAAGACTTGGAAATCTACTACATGTCTGTCCTTTATTAAAATTGCATGTACGTTACACACACATGGTCTTGTTTTGAACTTGTCGGGGACGTGAGTGCTGGTACTGCAACATAGTAAAAATAAGTTGGTTTACATACTTCAGCAGACTTTTCCATTGATGGTTCTCTGAACAACATGTGAAGCTTTCAAGCTAAATATGAAAAAGATTGCTTGCCGCATTGTCTGGCACATTAGTGAAAACGAATTCTATTCAGATGAAAGAATTATGTAGAATTTTGTAACGTGGAAGCAGTGGATGTAATTTTAAATAATGACATTATGATTGTTTATACGTTAGAGAGAAAAGTGCAAGACAGTTGTTACAGATTTGTCAATTGTCAAGAGTTAATATTTATTTTTATACGTTTAATTGTTTGCGTACAGTTACCTCAACCCAGCACTTTTTTTCCACCTGTCAAAATTTATTTTGAAATGGGCATCAATTGTTCATAAATTCATGTCACCAGCTTGATTTTTTTAATGATTTTTTTTGTCCATGCTACATGTACAATGTGCATAACTTCAAACTACATGCAAGCCCCGCGTACAAAATGGATCAGTTTTAGTTAATCAGAATGTAGGTTTTGTTGGTGTTTTGATAATGTTTGGCAGTTGTATGTTTTTAAGCTGCTCTTTTAGGAATGTGCCCCCTGTTTTGTTTGCAGAATATTAAGAGCCTGATGTTTTTAACCAGCTTGTTGAAATACGCATGGCATAGATTAAATTAAGTTTCTGTGGGGAAGCAAACAATTTTTATAGGTACTAATTTACTTATTTTCCAGTATATCAAACAAGGAAGAAATAAATGTGTGTACCCCCATGGCATCATTAACATATGCTGCTCACTTGTGGTATTTCTGTCTTTATTTGTTTTCGCTACGGTACCCACTGCGATTTCTGGACGATGTGGCATTCTTTTGCCTTTGTGTTTGCGGTATGTGGCCTGCCCACTCAAAACCCCCATTTCAGAATGGTTCACCCCACTTTCACCTGTTGATTGAATTGAATGTAGAATCGGTGACTATTTCATATTGAAGGTGAAACTTCCAACAAATAGTCGTCGGAAAATGCTATGATTAATAAGGTGGAGTCCAAATTGGCACAGAAACAAGATATAGATAGGCCTAAACTCGAAATTATCTGATTTCTGAAATTTCTTCTGCTGTACGGCTGCAAAATGGAGGAGGGCAGAGACTTGACCGAGAGTCACATTAATCCTTGTATCAAGTACACACTTTTTGTCATCAACTTTTTACTATGGGTAAGTATCGTACCACAACAAGCACTAGCAAATGCTCGAAATATATAGCTTAGGCCTATTAACATTGTAAATCGAGGTTTGTGATCCAATTTCCGGACAGACATGACACTTGACAGACAAGACCGGAAACTAAAGACTTTTCTTAGGCTAAAGTTACATCAGTTTGTTACGGCATCACTTTGTTACGGTGACCATGCCCACTAACGACGTTTTGGAACATTGTATGTAGGATAAGTTACTCGCCCGTTTTTTTAGCAGACTTGGTCTTAGTTGGCTAGGCCTTCCGGTATATATCTAGTTAGCCTATCACACGTCTTCCAATTGCTTTGTAAGTTTAGCTTTTGCATGATTTGGTCATGTTGGAATATCATGCTCGGTAACCCTCCCAAATTATCTTGTCCTCTCTGTCATTGTCTGTTGTTTAACTTTTAGTCTTACTTTTACCTTTTTACCTTGATGAAGCCTAGATCTTGTCTAGAGGATTTTGTTTCCGGTTGAATAATATTTTCCTCTACGATGGCACCACTAGTCATGCTAGTCCGTACTTCCAGAAATGTGTAAGGTTTATACAAACCTTTAAGATAGCTACAGCAAAACTCGCCAACTCACTCTGCCATCACAGCTATTTGTGCAACAAACTTTCACACATGCCTTCTTGGTGAAGTTAGATGTCTGATGGGGAAGTTTATTCACCTTGTATCCTTTATTAAAATGGTGAAAGTCTCGAGCATTTTGCCCATCCACACTACAGAAAATCAACAGCATGTACATGTACTCTCCATCACTGCATGACCATGATGACAGCTTGACCAATCGTAACACAGCTCGCATCTTTTTCTTCTTGTTTTAATTTTCCTGTCACCCATAGATGAAAGCCACACTGTGATTGGCCTAATTTGCTTCCATTCCAATGACCAGGCATAGCTCAGCTTTCATTTTGATGGGGTTAGGAAAACCAGAAGGAAAATGCCCTTGAAACATTGATGAGAATGTAGGCTATTTTTGGACTCACAAGTTTCACTTCATTGCTTAACACACTCAAATTTATAAGATATTGATAAAGGTGGCATTTTGAAAGCCGCATTTCTCTACAATAAATGGCCTCAGTATAGCACAGTTTCATGCATTATCATAAAGGAGCTCACATGGAATTGGATCGTTGTTGCTGGTCTTATGTAGTGCTGATGAAGAGCACCCTCTGAATTGGAGTAGTGAGTCTAGCTATTTTTGTAATCACTGGAGCTTTTCTTGAAGCATTTATGTTCATTGTTGGATACCACATACGCAAACTTCAGAATCTGATGCAAATGGATGGGTCTATTGGCAAATTTCAATTGTACCCTTTCTTCAGCAGCTCTTCAACTAAGTGTACACAATCAGACCTCCCCCAGCTTGTCAACTTGTACTCTCTCATATCTTTGCAATACTTTAGCTGGTTTCAAATATTGAGTTTTCAGTGAAAATAATATGTACAGGGATGATTCGCTGTGAAATTACGATCTACATGTGGTAATAGCCAGACTTCTTCCAAATCCTTTGTTGTTATTATTATTTGCGGATTTTGAAGGCTTGAGGACTATTCAATGTAGCAGTGGATTTGGTTCCCCAAAAAGGCGCAAACGCTCTTGGTTTTCCTGCTTACTAGGGTATGCTGTAAAGTAAAGAAAAGAGCCCAGTAAGAAGGCCGCTGAGAAAGTTAAAGTTTCCTTCCTTGTTCCTCATTGTAGGTGTTCTCCATCTGTCTGATTGTCATCGGCGTCTGGGCACTGATTGAGAGGCAAAACACCATCTACATCACGTCCTACCTGGATGTCTTCACCGAGCCCTCCATCGTCCTCATTGTCGTGGGCAGCATCGCCTTCATCCTGGGGTTCACTGGCTTCCTGGGAGCGCTGCGAGAGAACTGCTGCCTCCTGATGTTTGTGAGTCAACACAAGACGGAATAATCATCGTTGTTAGATATCTAAAAAACAGTTGATCCATTCCTTTTAGGCTTGAGCCATTGCATGGTTGGTCTTAAACAGTTGATAAAGCACTACCTGGCTCTGCACCACCTCATGTACATGTAGTATGTGCCATGTGGGTGGGGCAAGTCTCTATATACGGAGATTGTTTATTACTAATTGAGAAAGGAACGTACCATCACGTGTCCAGACAGGGTATTTTAATTAAATAAATGCAATAAATTTGTTGAAGAAAATCGTTGGCAATTTATAAACTTGTTTACACTTCTTGACTCAATGGATGTATGAGTGGGAATAAATTTGTGCTTGACCGGCTCAGGAGAATGGACGTGACTAATGCCCAAGCCACATTAACCCTAACCCTCCTCAATCCTCCAACAGGTGAAGGATTGAGGAGGGTTAGGGTTAATATCAAATTTAGTGCATACAAAACGGTCTCAGAGAGCTTATTCCTTGATAACCCCTATTTGTTGTACCTCCTTTTTAAGACATTAAAAGACAGGACCACAAAGTTGAACAAACAGACAAATAGCCTGAGGGCTCGATGTCATGCCACTGTTAAGCACACGATTTTACACAAACAGATAGCTCCACGTACATGTACCGGTAGGTCATGAAGACCCACATGCGGTAAGCATGGCAAAAGGCACCGTAATTACCTTGGAATGAAAACTTGCTTAACGTAGTGACAAAACAATGGATATCCCTGTGCCTATGTAACCATAAAGCACAACCGTGCCAAGCGCTACCATGATATAGTGCTTTACAGTTGACAAAATTTTGGATGAAACTTGAAGGAAATGAGAAGATGTTTAAAACCAGATGAAAAACCATGTATGCCAGGGCATATAAGTCTTACCAGTCGGCCCATAATTTATAGTACATTTTCATACATGCACCATACTTGTATCGAATCTGATGTGATTCATTTTGAAAGCTAACTTACATTAATACAAAATTTAATGGTAGGCTGTTGGCAGTGCTGAGATACACTAAGCCTTCGTCATTTTTTTTTCCTGTAGTTCTATCTGTTCATGCTGCTGATCTTCATACTGGAGGTAGTCGCAGGAATCCTGGCATTCGTTTACAGTGGCAACGTAAGTCCATCACTGTGGTCCCCTGAATGTGACAAGGCTGATAGGCTACCACCGGTAGTGAATTAAAACCGGGAAGATTTGACTGTGCTTTTCCTTGCCAGACAATGTCCAGTTTCTCTTCCTGGTTCTCTAGTCAAAGGGACAATCCCTAGTTCTTTGTTTCATCCTGATACAGATTTCAGCGTAGTTCTGTGTTGATGAATTTTAATTTCCTCAAGAAGCCTATCCTTTTAAGTGCTAAATGATTGAAATAAAAATAGTTCCAGGAACTTTCTCACCCACATAAAGCAATCTGGTCGCTGCTTCCAAAGTATTTAGCAAGAAGGATATCCCCAGAAGTGAAATGTCAAGAATGATGTGACAGTTGGCTGTGTTAAATCATTTTCACTTTCAGTTTTACAACACGGTGGATGAGATCATTGAGCGCTCGATTGCACGTTACAGGATAGATGGAGATCTCACCAATTTTATTGACTTTTCTCAAAGGACGGTAAGACACACGAAAGTTGATCGTCTACACTGCAGAAGTACATGTATGTGAACACATAGCAAATTTGGGCTGGGCTTGCACCAAAAACAAATCTGGCCTTACCCTGCTGCGTGCACAAGTTGCCCCTTTTGTTGACAAGAGGAGAGGCTGAGGCGTAGTGTTGTATTTGAGACCGTCACTAGACCGGGCATGAGTAGCAGAGTTAACTACTCTGGAATGTTTCAGAGTGGGCAGGGTCTTATGTTGGTCTTTTGATGGTCTCAAGAGGTCTCGATAACAACACTTCCAGGGTGACAACTGAACACAGCTTGCACCTTGTGCCAGGTACCCACACAGACACCCCTACAGATATCTAAAGTTACCCCTGTCATGAGTGAAGGCGGAGCTTGGTGTGTACAAAGGAGAAGGTTGCTTGAAAAAAGAAAGAAAAGATGCTCTTGCTTATGAATGGAGTCATTAATCACTTGCTGTTGGTTGCTTCTTAAATGCAGTGCACACGTACGGGAGATATTAAGTTTTCAAAATTCCTCAAAATTCATCATTTCAGTCAATGGACATTTACACTCATCAATGGGGTCCTGGAGCACTTTTGTCCCGGGTGCTAATCCGCAGGCGCGCTATGCCTTAAACAGTGGTATACTGTTTAAAAACAGTGACGGATTGTCTTCGAAAAATGCAAGCCGAAAAATGATGGCAATTCCCAGCAGCAGGTCTTTTGTTACACGGAACAGCTCTTTTGTCTGATTTCGGGCAGCCCAGCTCTGCATGTCAACCCTTGGTGCTCAAAACAGGGTTCCTCAGCAGCATGTGGTTAATGGCGAGTACCGGGAGCAGTTATTTCACAAGTCCACACAAGGCATTATCAGTGTTATAAAGTCCCTTTTGTAGCCCCGAAGTTTAGTAAGCATGAAAGGATAGTCATATATGTACCAATATACATGTAACTAACATCCAGTCTTAGAATACTACATGTATGTACCAAGGCTATGGCGATCAAGAGACTTGTAATGACACAAGATTTCAAGAAATCCTCCTTTCTCAGTTGTTTCTGGGCCTTTCCATTGTACCTTTTCATCCACAGAGATTTGATTCTGATGAATAAAAGACCACTATACTGAGATCACATTGCTGAGTTTCTGCAGGCTAATTTCTGTTTCTCCATGTCATATTTTTTTGGCATGCCTATCCGACTCGGGGAAACACCTTTACTTTGGTACTGCGCCCCACTTCCTCCAAGAATGCTTCTGAGAAAGATAGCTGAATGCAGCAGTGTTCAAAGCTTGTAACAAATTTTATTTATGTTAGAAAATCTCGGCAAAATGTCACTTTGTTTACAGTCATCAAATTCTTGAAACTAAATCCCACTTTGGGTGTCTCTCTTGCTCTTTTTTTCTTACAGTTGGGATGTTGTGGGGGTGACGGTGGAAGTTCTGGTAGATCATACTCGGACTGGTCTCTGAACCGCTACTTCAATTGCACACCAACAAACCCCAGCCCGGAGAGGTGCGGGGTACCTTACTCTTGCTGTATGGATAAACAAGATCCTAATGGGGATTCCACGATCATCAACACTCAGTGCGGATTCAACACTCAGGAAAAGGTTAGTGTCTCACCCTCGGGCAAAAGAACAGGAGGTCAGAATTCTGGCCCAGAATGTGGCACAGGTGTTGAAATTCTACCTTCCCTCTCCCTCGTTTGTTGGATCAATAATTATTCCTCAATTCCCTGTTTGTGAGAGAGGCCATTAAATAAAGCCGGACTATTTGCCATAATGTTGTCAGGTGCAAGCTGAAGTATCGGACGTGATCTACACAAGCAGCTGTGTCGACAAGTTCCTGGTATTCGTCAACCAGAAGAGCTACATCGTAGGGCTGACCGTCTTTGGAGTGGCTGTCGTGCAGGTCAGATGGCTACCATTTTGTACCAGCCCAACCCTGCTTCTTGTCCTGTTTCTGAGAAAAAAGTTCCCCACGTACTTCACATCCAAGATCTGCATCCACGGGGGCCTTCCCCCATGGATCCCTAAGGGGAATGACATATACAAACTCTACTGAACTCCTCAGGAACCAGGGCCCAATTTCACGGAGCTGCTCCACAGTTATCAGAGAAGGCCCGCTAACCAGAGCAGCAGATGTTGCTTCACTGTAAACATTATTGCATGCGCGCACACATAGGAGATTCCCACTGTTATGTCACTAAATTAAGCAAAAGTGTCCTCCAAGGTGAAATGTGCCATCTGCTGTGCTTATTGCTGATGGTCTCCATGGAGCCTTCATTAGGGTAATATCGTGTGCTTTGCAGCGCCGTGATGTTGGGCCCAGGATTTGGGGCTTTTCCTAAGGGACAAGAAAAGTCAGACGTTGTTTTCTGGGTGTCCAAAAATATGAAGACGGTTAATAAGTTACCAAGAGAAAAAGTGAAGAAGGGTATCTTCATTGGCATGCCGAGGAGGGGGCAGGGTGGAATTAAGCCCCCCCCCTTTCCCTGTGATATAGCAGTACATCCCTAGTTTCCTTCCGGGGGAAGGCTTAAGCATCATAAGCTATTCTCGCGGTAAATTCCAGTCCGAGCCGCCCCTCCCGCAAGCTTTTGTTTGCTGCTTGTGGGGTCAAGCCCCCTTCCCTCCTGTAAGGTTTCAATTTTTTTTTCTTAACAAACATATACATGTGTAATATACACAGACATCTTGAAACTACTAGCTCTGATAAAGAGTACAGAAGTGAATATGTCACGTGCACGATTATGTGCGTAAAGGCGTTAGCCTGAGAGCCAGCACGTGAACCAGCAAGCGCTTTGTTTGTACTACACTTACTGCTTTAAATGACATCACACTTCGGTACCCTTTTCACTCTTTGCACACTGCTGCCTTTGGCATGAAGAGCCTCGAACTGGCAGCTTATACCGTCGCGTCAGAATCGCATCTCCGCAGCTCTTTGAAATATTGTCCAATCGCATGGTACACAAACTAACGCAGCACACACAAAATTACATAAGCAACATACTCGGGAATCACTGAACTGGCTATATTCATTGTGTATGCTGCCATATCAAGACTCTGCATGCATAAGTCTGCAGCGTGCAAGGAACCAAGAGCTGTAAATCCTAGCCTTCTGTGGGAGAAGGGCTTTGAGCATCATGAGCTCTCGTGGGAGGTAAATTGTAGTCTTAGCTGTCCCACCTCCCCCCCCCCCATCCTGGGTGCGACCACATTTCATAGTTAACAAGAAAGTCCCATGGTAACAGGACATCCTACAAATTTGGTTTGTCTGCAGTGAACTGAACCCCATGTACATTTAGTGTGGGAAGGGCGCCCTCTGTTGAAGACTAACAGAACTTATTTGTTTTCTTTTTTTTCTCCTGTCACAGTTGCTCGTCATGCTTCTGGCCTTCTTCTTGTGCAGACAGATTCAGCAAGAATGCACGCGCTACAGAGAGTGCAAGAAACGTGGCATCAACAATTTTGCCTGAGAGGTTGTTCGGTCACCAAGGTGTTCAGCTGGGAGCAAATTTGCATTCGTAGTGATCAGGTGTTGGAACGAGTAGATCTGAAATAGAAATAGCCCCCTCTTGTTCATGAGCTCTTTGCTGGCAGATCCAAAAAAAATTGCGAACTATCGGAATGACATTTAATGGTCCCTTTTAAATCACACCATTTGTTCCCAGCACAAACCTGTGTTTTACGCTGGCCTTCTAGACCAAATTTCTTTTTACTGCAGATTAAGGTGGCATTTGTTCATAGAACATTCAAATTGCATTACCCAAAAAAATCTTACAAATTCAATTGTGAAGGTCTTTGTCCAGAAAAACTGTTTGTTACATTGTGTTTAAATTTGAAACCAAGTGTGAACAGCAGAAAAGAAAGGAAAATTTTCTCCATGTGATGCAAAATTTAAAAGTATAGTTATCTAATCTAAAAAGTAGTGCTTCCACAGGAACGAAGCACAGGGGAGGGAATGGACCTTTCCCATGAAACATGCAAATTTGACAGGTGCATGTGCGCCACTACCACTGCGTGCAAGTGTGGCCGTCAACACTGTCAGCAGTGTAGGAGAACTGCTCTAACCATAACCTGGCGGGTTCAAAGTCAATCAAAACCGTATTACAGCCTTTGTCAAAACTAAGTGAAGTTTTCAGTGTCCTGAGGTCAGAAAGTAACAGTTCCTTGTCTTTAAGTTTGGCAGTCATGTCAAACTATACCAGTACAGAAATGACGTTCTGCACTTATGGTTGTGCACGCTTGGAGATTTGTGTTGTTATGTCATAGTTAAGCAACTCTGCCAACCAGCAGTAGTAATGCGCATGCCTTATTTGCATATTTCATGGGAAAGGTCCTTCAACCCCAGTGGAAGTTTTGTGCTACAGACAAGTTGAACGATAATGTACGAAATCTCATCAATAAGTCAGTTGGAATGTGTGCATCTATCAAAGTATTTACCAATTCCTTGATTTTTCACTTCAAAATTTAGCAGTACTACATACTCCTTACGGTTTCAAATATTCAGGGATTTGTGTATAGTTTTCAGTCCTTTATATGACAAGATGGCTGACTTAAAGAATTTTTAACATTTTTAAGTCACATAGAATCACAAACCTGACTGTTTTTCAGCACTTTTAACTTGACTTTTACTCCTGTTCTATGTGAATTACCGCTGTCTTTCATTCTTTGACCTTGGATGCATACATCTGATGTACTACAATATCTACAATTGTCTTTCACCTCCACCCATGATTATCTTTCCACATCTCACCTGAGAGCAAAAGCCAACCAATATTGGCATTTGCGGTAGCATAGCTTGTGAGCAAAGAAAGCGACAAATTTATGCAGACTGCAGAGCTCGAGCCCACTAAACCTCCTTGCTTGCAAGTGCAGTTGACATTAACTGTTTGATCACTAAAGCTCATGCGACTGGGATTGGAAACTGGTAAGCCAGAGGTCATAGGTCATGGGTGTAAAAAGTAAGCATATTTGTTTTATTCCACAAGCCTTTTGAACTGAGTGTCCCTGATAAAAACTACATTGGCAAAGGTCAACAATTGATGTTTGTTAAACATTGTGCATTATAGCAGGTATCCCAGTGTCTTTCAACTATTGTATTCAAACATTGGTTTAAATATTTCATCTTATCAAATACTGTCAACATTTACATAAAATAGTGTTCTGATAACATACCCTTTATATTTTTCTTATTCTCAAACACTGTGTCCACGTACTTATTATTAAGGGTAATCTTTTGTTTTAAATGTAGGATTGCAGTACTTTTTAAGCTAAGGCTTTGTTGCTTCTTCAATTTATATATTTTTCGTGACAATTTTAGTTTGCATGCATATGATCAAAAGTCTGCGGTTGAGTTTCAAAGCTTCGGTGCAGGTTTTGTAATATGCATATTCTTTTTTGTCTATATTTACTTAATTCAGTTGTATCTTGAGAAATACATGCAAACCGGTTAGGTTGCTTTATAAAAAATAATGTTTAAATGTAGGGACTGTGTGTATATATCTGGTATGTATTTTTTGTGATTGTTTTATCAACTTTTTATAAGATTTGTTGTTAGATTTTTTCTGCACGTTTATTCATGTATGATGCATGTAGCCTACAGCCGCATTACTGTAAGAAATGATACGGCCTCAATCATGGATGCCCTCGGCTATAGTGCTCGCTATATAGTGAAATTCTTTCAGCTGTGAAGCTGCAACTCCATTTGATGGCATCCCCATCTGTGACAGGCTAAGGTTTTTAGAAGCGCTTGCATTGTACATTCACGAGATGTATAAACAATATGGAAAAAAAAGTCAATGTTGGGAGTGGGTCATTGTCAGTTGCAACAAATTTTAATGCTTTTATAAACACTTTACATAATGCCCAATCACCTCGCCACGTCATGCCAGAGGAAAGGAAATCACACAGACACATTTGATGCAGGTGTACTCATGATTGTGGCCATTCAGTTTTCAAGAGAAATGCGCTTGCATTCAAAGTACATCTAAATTCGTAGCAATAACGCAGTAAATAAAACACTGAAGCAACAGTTTGTGTCAGGCTGCCATTTTTATATTTCCACTCCTACTTAATTCTTCTCAAATAGGAGAAAGAAGTTTTTAAATAAATACTGCAAAATTACAAAAAGGATGACGAAAAAGTTTCATGACGTACATGTATAGGAATGTGTAAATAGAAACATATATACACACATTTGGATAATCGGTGAGTGTGCCACATTATACACATTTCTACATTATGTACATTTTTATTAATCTCTGCATTGTAAATGTAGCAAATATTTGGCCTATGAGCATGCAGAACTTTGCAGATCAACAATCAACCTGAAGCACAAATGAACGAGTTATACTGCGTCCTCTTTCAGTTCAAATCAATTGGCGTTCTCGTGCTACACAGGCGGTGCACCAGTCTTCAAAAAACAATGACTGCACGTCCCACCTCAACCCCTAACCTATGATCTCTTCTCATAACTGCACGGCGGGCACCAAAAGTGGTTTTTTGCAGACGAATAAATTTTTTATTTTTTCCTCGCTAACTCCCAGTTTTGTCCAGTCATAATGGCCACAGACCAAGATGACAGGTAGGTCGACAAAGGTAAAGATTCTGATACTCCCCTTAATTCAGTAGATTGTGTTTAATTCCAATCTTTCAATGGCAATCTTCAAACAACCTACATGTAAAAGGTACATGTATGTCTCACCATGGCAAAGTAGCGGTATCGCTACCACTTGTGGTCGCAGGATTGTTGACAACATAGACATGTACACCTGTGTATTTTGAAACTGTGCACTACCTGTGTACTAAGATTTAAGATGAAACAATCTTGCTGTATGTGGCAAAATTTTGCCTCCAGTCATAACACTTGATGTAATAGCAAGAGTAGACAGGACTGTTATTCCTTATGTGGTCAGAGTATCAAAAGAAGTTTGACACAGTGCAGATGTTAAAGACATGCAAACTTGCACAGGTACACACAAGGTTCCCCCTTCCCTTTGGACCAAAAGGGCGGATGGTAAAGACATGCAAACTTGCACAGGTACACACAAGGTTCCCCCTTCCCTTTGGACCAAAAGGGCAGATGGTAAAGACATGCAAACTTGCACAGGTACACACAAGGTTCCCCCTTCCCTTTGGACCAAAAGGGCGGATGGTAAAGACATGCAAACTTGCACAGGTACACACAAGGTTCCCCCTTCCCTTTGGACCAAAAGGGCAGATGGTAAAGACATGCAAACTTGCACAGGTACACACAAGGTTCCCCCTCCCCCTCTGAAAGCCAGTTTTACAGGAATCTCTGGGCTTAGGACTATAGAACATTCAATGGACTACATGTAAGTTTGCAGTAGCACCATGAATGTATCTCTTTTTTGAGTATGTGGGGTTCTGTAAAGAACCGGCGGTAAACGTTTTGGACAGTATGCTCTGTCCATCGTACCACCGGTTCTTTTCAGAACCAAAAATACTCAAAAAAGAGGTATACCCGTGGTGCTACCACAAACCTATCTTGTTTACTTGCTACCTCCACCACGAAAAGCTTCAAATCTCAACATTCAATGGAATGAGATTCACATTCAGGTTGGAATACAGATCGCATTCACAGTAGGAGTGACATGCGATGTCCCCATCCCCTTTTACTTTGGGTCCATGAAAACAAAGGACCCATGCAGGTATTCCATGTACATCAAGGATGCAGCATTGTGGTGAAACATGCTGGTGTCTCTGCAGGCAAAAAAAAACATGTCTGAAAGACCACGCTACTCACTTGGCACATACAGGTATGCGCACACTGCCCAACAAACCAAACAAGGTTGCCAGAACTGTCAGTCCAGCTTTCATCATTTACATGTACACTACTGTCGTGAAAACTAAGCAGTCGTTTTAATCAAGGCGTAATGACTCTTTACCAGCATGGACAGCTGAATGGCACACATTTTGGATGAGACGATAAACGTGGCCATAAATCTTGAAGCCCCATACACATATCTCCCGGTATTCTGAGGTACGTTGTTGCCTTCTTAAATCTGAGGTACATGCGTGTGTGAGTAGAATCTGGCCCCTACCGTCCCTCGTCATCAAGCCAGTTCCCTCATGCTCTCAATCTGCGCTAGGTACAGCCTGGTCCTAGGTGTCAGCCGATCACAGTGGTCCCTCAGACAGGCCTCCAGCACCTCTACGTGGTCGCCCATCTGCAGGAGGCACTCCCTGTCCTCCATGCTCAGCCCAGCCTCAGCCGCAGGGTGGTACAGCCCGGACCTCCGTGAGGACTTGTCGCAGCACTGAGATGACTGGACACCTTTGCTCCCTGTCTGTAGTGACTGGGCTGAAAGGAGAACAAAAGAAGTAACTTCACTGTAATTTTCGGAGGTTTTTTAATCATCTGACCATACCTTTTATATTCAGCAAGATCTTCATGTACACATTTAAAACCAAAGAAATGTCAAAGTTGCAAGAAGCACTGTTTAAGTTGAATGCCTTCACAAGAATCTTGCACAAGGTAAATCAATAGAAACTCTCACAATTTTCTGCCCACATACATGCACGTGTGCACAATGTCCATGTAAATGTAATGTCTATTTTTGTCAGGTTTTCAAACTCACTGACACGTCCCTGAAAAAACAAAATAATCACAGAGCTCAGTCTGCTCGTTCTAATGCAACTAATGAAACAGATGTGTGATTCAGCAAATGACCTCAAAAGCTCATTTTGTACGATGATGTTACAAATAGCAACACCAGCTTTTGTCTGAGTCACTGGACTGACAACAGTAGAATCTCTCACGCGCACTCTGCACTTGCTAGATTGTCTCAACAAGATGTATAGAACATCTGCAGCGAGGTCATTTTACTGCATGTTGGGTTGTGTTGCTGTCATAAATCAACCACGAGAGGAATCAAGTTTCCAAACCACTACTTTTTTTGTGTGTGCAGTGTCAATATCATCTGACCAGCGGGCATTTGGGCAAGAAAGTACTGAGACGTTGCCAAAATGAACACAGAGAATACATCCGAGACAATGCACGAACGTTCAGTTACAGTGGGTGGGTTGCATGCTGCATTGTTCTCAACTGAACATAGAACTGCCAAATCAGGGGGTATTTTGGGCCAAAAAAGCACCTTTCATGTCCATGTGTTCATTCTATAAATTTGGGGTCCAATTTTGTTGAACCGGTATCCCGGCCACATCATACATAATGTATGTATATACAATTTTTCCCAAGACTGACTAAGTAACGCAAATTACCTGCCAAGTAAAATAACAACAGTTTGAAGTCAATTATGGTACACTTATGCACAAACACCATATGCGTGTAACACTATATGTACAGTGTAGGTAACAGACACATGTATACTGAAGTGGAAGTTGACACTGCAAATATCACAGGGTTCCCCTGCCTATTCAACTGGGAGGCGGCCCACCTCACTGATCTTAGTGACCACTCGTTGAATTTTCTGTTGAATTTTACCACCTCACACTTAACCCCTTCGCTACGGATGACTGCTACTATATAGCAACTTTGTGTGAGCATTAGTGCATACCACACATACAGTCTATTCACCATGCAGCTGCTGGTTTAATGGGGCCTGCTGCTGGACAAAGCCCTCCATTCAGGGCATACCCCAGCCCAGGAGTCACGGTCAAAAGAATCCCATCGTGAAGAGGTTAAAATAGACAAAGATGGAAGGAAAAGGAAAAGCAAAGTCACTTAGAGATATTTCGAAACAGATCAGTTTTAAATCTTTCAGAATGGTAAAGAGGGATGCAGAATACAAGATTGATTTGTTTTGGAGGCGAAATTTAGAGTAAATGAACTGAATTATTAGACGACATGTATATAGAATTTTTTTTTTAAAAACACAGGCTTTTCTTTTAGGCCCTAGGATTTTGTTCAAACCCCCCAGGGGATTACCCCATATCATGACTCAAACACTGTCACCAACTCTGTCTGTTTGATCTTGCTAGGCCATACATGTACAGGACAAGCAATTAAGCGTGCACTGCTCCACCTACATATACAGTTGTGCTTTGCCTCAAATTAAAAAGCCATCTCTTCACTTTGCAGTCGACATGATAGTGGGCGGTGTTATTTTACAAGAAATCTGTTCTCCATCCCTTGCACTGCAGGTGGGACATCTCATGCAAACACACTGGTACATCTACATGTTTTTGCTTTTTTTCAGATTTGTCAATTTACAAAACGTTCATTGTTATTCACGCATAAAAAGTAATGCCAACTCAAATGTCAATGTGGCACATGAATATTTACTCATTTGCTGCCGAAATAAAAACTACCCAGTCCCTCATCCCCAGTCGTTAGCGAACAGATGTTAAACTGTTACCCTGTATGCATAATGCAAACTATGAAAGTAGTAATCTCTTGGTGGTATACTGTGAAGTGAGCCACACCTGCTGGGAAAAACTACCTTGCCCAGGGACAAACGGCATTTTATCTCTGTCTGTGTTTATGATCCAAAGCCTCTCACACCAGAGATACTGTACATGTAAATGTAATAATTGACCATGTGACTCTGGGATTTTTCTGCATTAAAATGGTCCATTTTTTGCAAGTCATCTGTACGATGTTAGTGTGATACTCTTCTCATTGCATTTTTCGTTTAAGACATGGTGACACCATGGCAGAGTAATACAGGTATTTGCTACAGTGCCAGCCCAGCAGAATCCTAGTTCAATCCATGATAAATCTCCACACATGTGTACAAACTAAATGGAATTTGTTGCCCTTTCTGAGTATGTACATGTACCGGTACACTGCTAAATCGCGGCCGATCCTAAAATATAACTGAAAATTTGCTGGGGGGTTTACATGTCCTCCAGTGTCCCTGTAACTGGTTCCCTTCTACTTGAAAGTGATGTTCGCGCAAAGCAGTGACTGCCCACCTGTCTTGTTCCGGATATAGCTCTGCAGAAGACAGAACAGCAGCATGGCCAGCTCCTCGCATTCGTCCATCCGCCGCTCCTGCATCCCATTGCTAGGGGACCAACCCTTCCTCCTGTCGCCCACATGCACGTCACGCTCCGCCAGCACGAACTCACTGATTCTCATGGGGCCCGATCTGAAGTGACAGGTCACCATCTTGTGGATGGACAGCACACCTTGCTGTTCCATGGACTTCTGCTCACAGAGGTTCTCTAGCAAGAGTTCTATAAGCTTTGACCTGACAGGGTCACAGGTCAGTGTCTGAATTAGAAATTTAGAAACAAGCAGCACATCAATATATGTCACATACACTGAATATGTGCCTACATAATTCAAAAGAAATTTTAATACTGTAATAAAATTGAAAGCCTTCCAATGCAGATCTTTTGCTTTATCATTTCCACAACAATTTTAAAATACACATACAAACTTTTGCTGGAACATTTGACCAAAAAATATGACTTTCAGGTTGCCAAATCGCAAATTCTCGGTTTGTGGCCCTGCGTGCTCTGCACGCTTTGAATTACACAATGAAAAAGCTCATTGTTCGGTGACATGCGGCTCTACTCACGCTTCCATATTTCCATTGCTTCCTTTCAAAGTGGGGACTATTGTGAAGCTGGTGATCAAAGATCGTACAGCACCGCGTAGTGGCGCAAGATTGCAAACTTCATCGTGAACACACGTAAAATGTTGTAATCGCATGGGCGCCATTTGAGCAAGCGATACGCCTGCGCAATGCACATTAATGCACAGGTGCAGGCGCCGCAGCAGGCATGTGCACCTTGTGAGCCTGCACCTAAGCATTACTGTAAACTGCACAGGCGTATCACTTGCTCAAATGGCGCCCATGGTAATTACACCTTTTGGGCAGAGTTATCCAACTTGCGCCTTCGGTGCTATACGTTTTTGCTGGTGATTATGATGCAAATTCGGTCTTTTCATTTCTGGGCTACACACAAAGGCCAATTACCATATATAAGAGTTAGGGTCTGCCTTCTTTCACCGTGTTTGCTCAAGCGTGGGCCGAGAATAATTAGTAGCTAAAAAGCGGGCCGAGGATCTCAATTTTTATGGCAGCTCTTACCGTCTCCCGGCGTGAAGGGGTTAAGTTTGGCACTCATGTCAAACTGTACTAATACAGAAATGGCGTGTATGTGCTCATAGCTGCACAAGCATGGAAATTTGTATTGTTGCGTCATAGATTTATGCAACATTGCCTACCAGTGGTAGTTATGCGCATGCGCCTGCCTTATTTGCATATCTCATGGGAAAGGTCCATTGTATGATTAGCTTTTATGTGTACACATGTACCAGTACATGGTACACCATTACACTTGGAGGTGTACATTTACATGTACAGTGGAATACACGCATATGCCAAGATACCGAAAATCTTGAATGTGTACATTGTAAAGAATATCGCATGTACAGTACATGTACATGTAGTACACGTGTACACGTATGTATGATGTAATGTTAGCCAATGTTGTATGTACAATGTACATGAATAATTTATGCGTAATATGGACACATATTGTACATACACAATGCGCACATGTACATATAAAAACTATTTACATGTACATGTACGGTACTTCGTGTATGTGTACATGTACATATAACTCCCACAAATATGTGTACATCGCATGGTTTATCATTATGGAAAAGACCGTGAGTAATATTACATGTACGAGAAGCCAATCACATTGTCATGTGAGCTGGCAACTAGTGCGCTTGCACTTGACTCATTTCAATTGTTAATTTTCTTAATTGAAAGGCTTGATCCAGTTACATATAGCAGGGCACTGTAATGGGATGTTTCTGGAACATGTGAGACATGTACCGGTACTTCTCAGAAAAGGACTTGGGTGACAGGAAACACTAATGTACCAGTGCACTGTCGATTTTCGAGTACACATGCATGGTCCACAGCACATGCACAATGCATGTACATGTACATGTACATTATAAAAATATACATGTACCGGTATGTAAACTTGCGTCTACTGCACAACATGTATTGTTCTATAACGAGCATAAAACTGCACTGCTTGGTGTAAAAAACCACCTGATACAAATCAATACTTTCCCAAGCAATAGCGGTAGGCAACAACTGTTCCATTTGGAATGTGGCGGAAAGCAAGGGCTTTTTTTTAAATGGGGCATTTTTTCAATGCACGACAAATGGTTAATTCATCTTCACTCTGAGTGACTTTCATGACACCAAACACCTGTGGATGAGCAACTGTACACAGAGACAAATTGACTGCAAAACTGTAAAACAGCAAATTATCTGGGCTAGAAGTAAGTGGCACAACGATATCTGTAAATTTCTAGAATAATTATCCTGGCAGCCACACCGATAGATAGCTCTCCTTTTCTTATCGCATACATGCACGCACAATGTACATACAATGTGCACGGTATCTGCGGTTAACCTACACCACACTAATACACATGGGTGTTTCCAAAACATCTGGTACCAACAAACCTACTGCAGTATCAAGGAAGAGTGCTGATTAATTTTGCAGTCAATCATACAGCCCGTAAATGGATACATGCATGAGCGTAAGTCAGGTACATGTTTACTGGTAGTAAGGAAATTTGTGGTAAATACTCATGTACATGTACAGTTTTTTTTATGCAAGGTCACCGGCAGATGCAACCCAAGCCCTCAGCTGGGAATTGCAGGGCTTGGACCCTTAACAACAGCTACCGCACATGGTCTTTTGTCTTTACATTGATCATGTACAATGCTCTGAGCTTTATGTACATGTACATGTAGCCTACACACATGTACGAGTAACAGCAGTTGGTAGTTAAACAGTGCAAACATCTCACTGCCAAAAAAAGTTGCACACACACAAAATAAGTACAATAACAGACACACAAAAGAAAACAATATGCAACAGTGTAAGCAGAGTGATCATACTTGGAGGCATATTTTCCTGAGGTCCAGGCTTGGAATGTAGAGATATGGGTAGAGAAACTCTTCGGCAATTTTGAGAGCACTATTACTCTTCCCCACAGCATAGCTGAGAAAAACGAGTTTTTGGAAGAGATGCAGGACAGTGAGGTAGCCCTCTGACCACATGGTCCGTGTGGCTATCTGTGTGGCTCTGTCCGGCTTGGAGTTGGAGTCTTTGGTGATCTGCCGCAGAAACTGCCAGACATTCCGGTCCTCGTGTGGGGCTTCCTGCTGGGGTTCGGGCACGGTGGGGCACGGTGCGAGCTTATTGGTAACAGTCTGGCACAGCCACTGTATCACGGTACGCACGTGGGCAAGACACATGTCTGCCGACAGCAAACCTTGGGCACAGGACTTCCTCCTCGCCCTTGCTGCCTGGAAATCCTCTGTCAGGACGATGACGACAAACTGCAAGGCAAGCACGTGGGCCAGGCGTGGGGTCTGAGTGCCCTCCGACCTTGTCCCCAGATTGAGCTTCTTGACGATGGTTGTCAGGAGATCCCAGTCTACAGTCAGACTGGTGGCAGCAGTGGGATGCAGACCGCGTATGTGCACTAAGGCTTCGTATCCATTCAGGACAGTGCAGTCTTCCATTCCATCTGCAAGCAAAACATCTTTCAGAAGATACATCATGTACTCCTCTGGCGCTCCGCGGTGTAGTGTGGCAAAGTCGCGGATGAAGATGATGGCATCATCAATGAAGCTCTCTTCAACAACTGCTTCAATAATGTCTCGCTGTCGCCGACAGAAATCTAAAATGACTTTTGAATCAGTTCTGGACCCCAAAGACTTGTTCTTCCCACTCCCAGTGACCGATGATTCACTTTTATCACCCTTTTTTATATCTGGAACAGTGATGTGAACAGGAGGGCCCATTGGTCTGTCTTCTTTTCTACAGCGTTGTGGCAGGCCTAAGTTTGCAGTCTTATGAGGTGACGTTCCAGTCAGCCAACTCTGCTTTGAAGGTGTGTGTACGAAACGCTTGCCGCAGGGTTCAAACTCATCCTCACTGTCTGAAAAATCGGACAACGTCAGGAGTGGCTTGCTGAGATTTTTCAACACTGGTTTTTCTGGCAATGTAGAGATGTTGCTTACTTTCCTTTGCCCCTTAGTTCTATCGTTTGACTCGGCTAAAGGACTGACTCCACGTTGGACCACTTTATTCTTCTTTGGTGGACTCGTGGGACTACTGGGGTCTACCTCCCGCTTGCATCCCTTGGCTGGGGCAGGCGGATACAACTCCACCAAGATTGGCGAAGCCGCTCGGACCCGCTGCCGAGTAAAGAGAAATGAGCGTGGGTTGGGGAGGTCTGATTCACTCTCTGAGGATGACGACGGCTCCGATTCGGAGGTCCAGCCATGCTTGAGATGCAAGTTGGTCAACTTGGGCTTCACGTCCTTGGTGTAGATGGTGCCTGGGAAACGGCTGACTGCCTTGGACAAGGACAACATAGGTGGCTTCTTTGGGATTGTCTTCTGGTGATTTACAACACGCCTCACCTTATGCAAGTGATGCTTCTTGGGCGAATACCTCTACAGAGAGAGAAAAAGAGACAGAGAAAAATGAAGTAATACAAAAATCCGAACATCAAATGACTGGTACCTCTACACATTCACCCGTATGTTCTGTAATAATTGGGAAAGCATTGCACATGTTTAAGTATAATACCACATGTAAATGTAGACTTTGTGGGGAATTAAACCATTAAAGGGACACATTTTTATCAAGGTCACATCTGGGTCTCCATTTTCCCAACAAAAGAAATTGTCCTCTCAATGTGGTAAAAGTCTGGGCACTCCCAGGCCTTACAGACAGGATTACGCACAGACTCAGCCAGTGTTTTCCCTTTTTTTTCTCCACATGTTCTGCCACTGAGCTCTCACTCCAGATCAACAACTCAACAACTCACGCCGGCACCACTTTGACGGGTAAAACTTCTGTTGGGCACAACAATTAAAGAGTTTGATCTGTGCACAACAGGTTCCATTTTTGAAAGGGACCATGCAAGGAATTTTCATAGAAACAAATATTATGCAAGTTACAAATACGGGTAGGAAAATGAAATGGACATGTGACCGGCTGCCAAACCCCAACTATTTTCCATTACACAGTATGGTTCTGTAACATTAATTTAAAAAATTGCATCAGGGAACAAATTGGGAACTTTTATCATCAATGGGATTTCTTTCCATGGTTAATAAATATTTGAAGTTTCAAGTTCAAACCCCCTTTGGCGAACGGAGCAGTTTTCGTGGGAACAATTCAATCTCTTTTGATTACATGTAAATTGGTTTGTTGACTTTGAAGGCCATTTGTCTCCATTTCAAAGTCTGCAATTTCAAGTTCAATATCTATATCAGAGTATATCCAAATTCCTCAAACACACATCAAATGAAAGTTTGTTGCTTATACATACCTACAGTGATTCCAAACTCCAATTCTGAATTTTCACCCCAAGCGTTGGGTTTTGCTAGAGCCAATCACATGTGTGACATCTCTTTTTGGTTACAATGTAACAAAACTGCACTCCTTTTAACATCCAAATGGCTCACATTTTCTCCCTTTAATATACCGGTAATTGACATGGCTGCAAAGGTACCAGTAGAAAAACTGATTGCCAGTACTTGAAATTGAGAACATTTAAATACACTACTGTTCAAAACTGGAGGTATTCTTTCTGGGAAGATGATGTAACCTACACGTACATGTTCAAGGCAAACACACAAGTAACTTACATGTACAGTGCACATGACACCATGTCAAGGAATACCAAAGTGCATTTGCCTTCAGACAAGAAAGAATCCATTATCCAAGGATGTAATGGCCCTGGAGACACCGAGTCAAGGAGGTCTGTTATTCCAGACAAAATACCCATACATGTACATTTATGTACATGTAGCCTATGCAGGGGCTGCTTCGAGTCCTTGATGTGTAAAGTGGAGCAATTTATGAGGGCCTGGTTAAGTTATTTGTGTAGACCTCAGTCCCTTTATGATAACACTGGTGGTGGGGGGGTTGGCATCCTTCCATAATACCCTGTATGTTATATGCACTGTTGGGGTTACACCTTTCTAATATGCCCTGTAAGTGTTGGGTGAAGTGATGTTTTATATAAAATAATCATGGTAAAATGTATCTACATGTACATGTAAATCCCTCACAAGGAAGAAGTCCCCGGCAGAACAAAATGAAAATATTTAGCAAATCGTATACATGTCTTTTATCTGATGTTCAAACTGCTTCCCTTTTTTGTCACAGGATGAAGAAGTCCACACATTATTTGAAACTTATTATTCCGAATCTTTCCCAAGAATCTTTCCACTGATTGGACCATGACTGGTGAATATGTCTAGAACTATTGGAAACTGTTGTACATTCGCACACATACAATATGAACATTTACATCAAATAAACACAGTTAATAAATGTGCCCTTTTGTTATGCCTTATAATGTAATACCAAGTGAAATAGAAATAGAAATACCGGTAGATTGATTTTATAGCTGATAATGTGATACATGTACATGTACATTGCAACCTTAAACCAAGTGATAATGTACAAAGTAATAGAAAAGAGGCCGATAATGCAAGGTGATATGAACCGGTACATACATGTGTACTACAAACCTGCTAGTACTTCAGAATATTTTGGGGGACTTGGCTTTTTTTGTTAGGGCTGTCTTACAATTTACAGTCAGTTTATCCTACAAGTACTTCATTTACATAAATGGCTGATAGAACTGTACATTATCAGAACACAATCACATTATTGGCTGTGCAGTGTTACACATGGCCGGCACCACATTGAGCAATTTTTGACTGGATGGTAGGAAACATTCCTGTGTCCTCACTGTCCCAACAACTCGGTAACTGTATATTGTTCAACTGGCATGTACTGGATTGTACTCTGTAGTCCCCACAAGTACCGTACAGCACTGGAGGGGCATTGGTCTTGTGTTCCTGCTCAATAACTTCTGCTCTACCCACAGCAATGTGTGACAGCGTGTGATGATGGAAGTTCCTGGAACTGATAATGTGACATATACATGTACCCTAAGGAAAAGGAATGATGCTGACTTCAACAGCAAACTCAGTTCAAAGGTTGGAACGATCACTCCCACGTTGTGCAGAGAAAATATCCACTTTCACTTTGCATTATCACAAATGAGGAAGTACATGTACAGTGACAATGCTTCCAATTAATTGGCAAAAAAATGGCTGGGATAAGCTACATGTACGGGTACATGTACGCATATTTTGCCATCTATGATAACCTACTGCACAAGCAAATATGACAAGTGCACTTTGAAACATTTCATCAAAGCTTGTTCAACTCCGGAGTATGGTAACTTTATCATCACTTGTCAATAAATTTACAGTAGCACAGACCTGATACCATGAGCAGTGTGTAGCTTCCTTGGAAAAACAAAATTGTCAGGTATTATTCAACAGTTTTTAGGGGGGATTATTGTGAAGGATAAATTTTGCACTTTCTCTCCTGTTTTGACAAGTACTTGCCGGAAGTACTGCTTTCTGAGACCCAAAACAAAAGCACCCTTTGAAATCTACAGTATGGATGAAAGGATTTTCTAAGGATGGAAAAGCTAGCACCTTCCTGTCACTTTTCACCAAGAGAAGTACATGTATTTAGATCTTGCTTGTATTGTCGTAACATAACTATGAAAACATGTTGAGCTGAACTTTTGCTGTAGATATCATTTACAACTGCGAAATTGTTGAATCTCCAAGCCAATACAAATCGGGTGGTGTCACAATACGGTGATCACCTTCTGCCAATGTCAAGCAGCTTCAACCTACATCTATATCCACACCGAGAACATTTGTAATACCGGTAGCAAAGGTGGTTGGTGGGAACTCGCTACGTGCGTGGGCCAGTTCATGTTTGTTTGGCTCGGGGCGAGCTGAGCACGCGCGGCCAATACCTCTTCTGAATGCTCAGTCCTTGCGGGTGGGCTGGGTACGTGCACGTAACCAGTTGAAAAACACCCTACCAAGCTGCCTCGTTTGCTGGTGAGGGTGCACTGCAACTCAGGGTGGATATCATATGCATGTACACGTAAGTATTGATCATCCATAGATCCCTGGGAAAACAGTCCCCAGTCCTTAAAGCATAAAGCCGTCAGCAAATTTACATGCTATGGTCTCTCCTGAAATATACCGGTAAATGATTGGAATACAAATATGGGAGTTGAGATTTTCTTCAACTGCAAGTATATAAATAGTGTGTACGGTATGTACTGGTACAGCACATGTACATGTACACTGTAGATGATTAAATGTACATACTGCACATGACTGTGCACGAACATTTACTCCCCCCCCCTTCAAAAAAAAAAACTCACAAGAAATAATCCAAATCAACACATGTTCAAGTCTATTAACAAAGTTGTTTACAAATGTCAATTGTGTGATTTTTGTGACTGCAATACTAAATTGGTACTGGAAAAGTCTCATAGAGATTCATTTACATGTACATGTGCTAAGTTTCTATGTGATGCCCAAGTTGAATGTGGGCCTACATGTATACATGTATGTACATTAAAACTGCCAAGATAACGTCAACATTGCATGTATGTAAAATACTCACCAGCAAACCAAAACTGAAAGCATGCACTCTTACTCAGGACAAGCACAGGAAATCACAAACTAAGTTTAGAATCTGATGTTAGAATTGCCACGTGTACAAATATACATGTAGATGTACTATACTAGTACCATGGATTCCTAATGCCTTGGTTAGAGAGATGTTGGAAATCTTGCCTCTCCAGCCGAATAACAGTGCTTTGACTCTAATAAAGCTGGCAATGAGCTGTGGGCTGGCTCCACCTTGACTGAAAGGCCCAGTGTGATTGGCCTTAGGCAGTGAGAGAGAGGTGATTCCCCCAAATGGCATTGCATCACCACCACTGTGTATGGCCGGCTGTGTGTAGGCTCACTCGGTCCCTGGGTGACGATTAAATCATCATAATAAGGACACGTTGCACAGGAGGCTGGCAGTCCTCCCCCCACAACCAATGGAGTGAATGCACGCAGCAGTATCACATGCACAGCTGCTGAATGAGTGAGTGTGGGTGTGCATCTGTGTGCTTGCTCAAGTAAATGCTAATAATTATTGAGGTTTCCCGTATGATTGACAGAACAATTCCATGCATTTCAAATGAACCATAACAAAGTATGTGCATGTACACGTATACACAGGTACATGTATGCATATGCACCAATGCGAAAAGATTTAAAGAAACAAACAGCGGACAAACAAAGCCTATGTCCAAAGACTGAATTAGCAAATAAAACTACATAGAATTCTCTGATATGTACATGTACACCACGGAAAGAACAAAGTCCAAAAAAAATGCTCTCCAAAAAACATTGAGGATGCACTCTAAGGTACCTGTATGTGTATGCAAAATGGTAATGTTTTGGAATTACAGGAATGCACAGAATGACGTGAAAAGAATGAGCCAGTGGAGTGGCAGCTCCAGTACTAGTACTTGAGAACATTACATGTACAGTGCTGGTGTAACATGCTCCTATCCACCTGGGGTCCCAATGAACTGTCAATCCAAGGTGAGAGTTGGAACCTATCCGAAGCATGCATGATTTGATTCAAGCATGGAGGAAGGACACGGAAGGGGTTGTAACTCTGGCACTTCAAACTTTTCAATGATCGTTGCCGAGTCAGACAAATTATAGAAAACATTCCAAAAATGCCCGAGGACTGCTTGCATCTTAGTCAGACCAGCGGGGCCAGTAATATCCGAGCAATACTTGTGGTATTTTGCTTGCAATTAAATACAAATTATTACAGTGACAAAAAAAGAGAGAGAGAAAAATCCCCGGTATTAGACCTACTTTTGCCATCATGAGTAGACTTTTTAAATTTTGATACACTGTTCCATTATCCATGCAAAGTTTGTAATTTTATTCTCCTCCCTCCAATACATCAGTTTGCAAAGATTTGGTATGAATTTGGCTAAGACTGGCCAACAAAATGTTGACTACTGCTGGAAAGCTAAGTTCATAAGGAACAAAATGCGCTATTTCATCACAGGGAGTGATCATGAAATCTCGTAAAATATGCTTTCATGCCAATGCCGCAATAAAAATGATTCAAATGAAACACAAAATCTCGTGAACAATGGGGCAATTTATCCCCAAAATAACTTCAGAAGAAAGCTTCATTAACCCTAACCCTCCTCAATCCTTCACCTGTTGGAGGATTGAGGAGGGTTAGGGTTAAGGGCAACGACTACACATGTATATTTAGGGCACACAGCGTAACGCAAGCTACTGCACAAGCATTACATTTCATGTTGTTATGAGATCATACCAAGCACCAACAAATGCATGAATATTCAATGTCCTATACCTCAGTACACAAAGTTTTAAGGATGCAGATTACATGTACCAGCAAAAAAAATCGCGGCAGTGATTATAGGGTACAAAGGGGTTTCATGGTTGTGAAACAGATGGTGCGTAGCAAGTATTCACTGCACTCTGGATATGGACTTACCGGGCATGCCAGAAAGCGGTAACTGGCAAGATGTTATAGCCCGGGCAGTTCAAACTCCTTCCGTTATGATTCAAGCATGAAGCCATGTACTGTATTTCTTACTCAAATGATTTATTTATCCCAATTTTCCCAAGCCAAATGAAATTCCAAACCCACTTACATGTATTAGTTTTACAGTGCACATACAGTAGACGTTCTTGCCTTTTGATAAATTCCGTGCTACAAGTACTGTAAGTGCATGCACTACAACGTACATATACCGGCACACTACATGTAGGTACAATGTGATTTCATTTCTAATTTCATTTTATGCATATACATGTACTACTCATGTACTATCCGGTACATGTAACTTCAGTGCCCATAAGTACCATCATCTCCACTCTTTCGCACACTCACAAAAACAAAACCACAAAGAAAACACAAAAAAAAACCACAAAACAAAACCACCAACCGCAAAAAACAAACAAACCAAGCCCCCCAAACTTTGGACCAAAACCAAAAAACCAATCCAAAACCAACCAAACCAATCAGTAAAAAAAAAAGAAACAAACCCAAAAAAATGAATCAACTCATAACAAAGGCTTGACACAAAATAAGAAAAACTCATGCAGGTAATGAATAGAAATTTACATGCCTATCTTTGATTGGGGGACAAATCTGCTATTTTTGAGCTACAAAATTTCTCCTTTCATTCAAATATTGGTACATGTACATGTACGTACAGTATGTGCAGATTTTAAGCTTCCTCCAAAACGTTTTTTTCTCCCTTTCCTTTTCCTGGTTTTTTTTTGAGGGAGGGAGGGAGGGATCCTGCAATTGGCGGATCACGATCAGATGGGACCGCAAAAGGTGGACCTAATCCGGCAATTTGACCTGTCAACATCCGTCCGTGCACGAGTGGCGCGAAACTTTTGCGGTCTGATGAACAAACAAAAACGTTTTTTGGCATGTAGCTCATGTGTATTTTTTAACGTGCACAGCATGCACAATAAACAACTGCTGATCTACAGGCTAGCAAAATGTGTCACTACGCATGCGCAATGCATGCATGCCGCGATGTGTGCCTTGCCCTTTCACAATTTTCTTTGCGCATTCGTCCGTTTCTTAACCTTTTTCATTTGTGTAATTTCACTTGCTTTCCATCAAAAACTAATTCCGTGTTAGCGTATAGCCCACAGCGTGTGACAGAGTATCAAAAATGGAAGCAAAATTTGAAGAGACAATGTACTAGGCTGAACATTCGGTGCGATTCAAGGTCTTCACGTCAGTAGAACTCCGTACCCAGAACACCGTAGGGTCACAGGCATGCCGCCCTAGCACGCCACACTGCCACAGAGCACGCGCTCAGCAAGCTAGCACATGTGCAATACCGAACTCAGTGACCTTTCGGGCTCGACATTTCCGTACAAAAAGGTGGATCAAGCACTAGTGGGAACTCGACTTGCGGTTTCGTTGCGGTAAGATAACGATCACACCAAAATCAAGATCCACCTTTTCCCAATTCAAGTGGGAACGCGCTGCTAGAGAGGCAGTTTGTCACATACACTGCGTTGAATAACATCATGTAGGTGTGCAAGATTAGGCTCATGTTTGGTATGAACTAATGAACTAAAACCTTATTTTGCAGACTAACATTAATTAACAAGTATACAGTTAATTTATGATTACAACCATGAACAACCACTGGGGCAACTTTACAGAGAAAATGCAATAATTTAAAAATGTCAGGACTACCGGTATCTTAAGCAAGTAGGAACACTTGAGGTTCATGAGAAAGTGCTTGCTGTAGAAACTTGAGACAACCCTAGACTTGACAAAGTCTGAACACCACAGAAATGACATACACGAACATGATAAAGCCAAATGTGCAAAGGTTTTTAAAAAGATATTTAGTCATTTTTATGTAACTTTGTCATTTACTGTCCACAGAAGCCAGTGCCCATTTTATTGACCCCATTAAACCCTACTGAATTCTACACTATTCAGATATATTGTGTATTTTACTCAAAATGGTGGGTTTCATAAATGACACAGTGACTTGAGAAGTAGTGGACTTCTAAGAGCACTGTCTTTCTTGGTCTGGTCAGTTGGGAGGTTTAAGGATACCTGTAGATTGAGGTGTAAGCATACAGTGCAACTACTAGTATAATATGACACGAGAAGTAAGCAAGAACCACTTGATGATCTTTAACCCTGAAGTCATAAATTGAATAACAATTGCAGCAACGGCATGGCAACCGAACATGCACAGTGTGTGTTTTTGGATACTCAGAAATATTACGGCAGCAAAACTTCATCTGGCTATGTGCTTCCGATGACATTGTGAATTTGTAGTCACAACTTGGAATTCAGACCTAGTGAAATTTTGGACTTCCTTTCCTTAACCCTCCAAAATCCTTTTCTGCAAAGTGGAGGAATTTTGAGGATTCAGGGTGTATGGCAAAAGTGCATGGCTGTTTTGAAGGATGCCATACGTGCAGGTCGTGGATTAGACCTTATGTTGTTTGTGCTTACATGTAGTCAAGCACAAATGCAGCCCGACATTTCTTTTGAATCAACTGCACAGCTCAATAGTGCCATTCGCACTGCCTCAACATAATGACAGGAATTGCTGGAGGATTTTGAAGGATTTGGGCAGTTAGGCACACTTCCAAATGACATTTTCATGAAATTTCAGAGGATCTTGGAGGATTTTAGCTCAATGCAATTTTTTTATGTTGAAAATATGAGGATTTCGGAGGATTCAGGATGGTTCCTTGTAAAAAGGTCTAGGGGGTTAAGGTTAAAAAAGATCCTCAAATGCCAAAAATCACATTGTGAGTAGGAAAAAACATCCTGTAAAGTCTTGAGATTTTCAAAAAACTCACAAGGAAAATCTCACAACTGTTGGGGGCTGGCAAAAATTACAAAATGTCCAAAATGGCCTGGGACTGACCTCTTGTCTCCAAACTGGAAGCAGTCCATCTAAATACTAAACCTAGTACGTAGTCCAGACATCAATAATTGGTAGCGTTTGTTGTATTTGTACTTACTGTCTTTCTCACACCATGCCTGCACTAGAATCTTGCAAATCTTATGCAAATTTATATTAACCTATCTTCAAACAGATGGCAGTTTGACATTTGATAACGCAGGTCGAGTACGGGATACAGATATCACAGCGTTGCACATCTGATTGGCTTGCTTGATTACCATACTTCAAGGCTGAAGTCTGCACACAGCGGGCATGTTTACAATTGTTACACTGCATTCTGTTTTCACTCTTGCCATGTCAAACATTGACGGAGCACTCTCACTAAGCTATGAAACAGTCATCTTGGAGCAAGTCTGAATGTAATCCAAGTGACTAGGACTCTACAAATTGCCTCTTTTACATGTAACATTTGGACATAGTTGTTACAGTGCAACCAGTGCATGAATTGAATGTTGTGTTTTTCCGATTATGTTTTTACTGTGTTCCGTTCATTGTTTTTATTCTGAGTAAATATCAATCTACCCCGAAGGTAATGGAATCATGCAAAAGTTTTAGCCAATCAATTGTTCGTCATTCCCACATAGACGTAACTCTGCCATTCAGAGAAGGCGTTCGCGAGGTGGGAAAACGCCTTCCCGTCTTACGCCATGATATTTTGTTCAGGCCGTGTTAATTGTCAGAACACCCATCGGATTATTGTGAATCAAATCACACCAGTCGATGAAGAATAGGTCGCATTGTACAATCGGACACAATTAGAATCTTTGGGTCCATGTTGGAGTTTTCTTATGTGAGAGAGAGATAGAGAGTCAGAAGTCATTTTTGACTTGCTCAAGAAAGGCAGGGGTTTGGAGAGCGACTGTGTGATGCAAGACCAGTTTTGACTCCCTAGCATCAGAAAGCTGAGCCAGCAGACTTAGCTTTTTTGTGGATCTGTTTGACCACTTTGGAAAAGATGGAAAAATCTGTTTCTGTGACAATTACTAATTAGGCAAACTAGGGCCTAATTCCAGCCACAGATGTCCCGGTCGGCATTAATGACTTCATGGCAACAGTTCACCTCCCAAGACAGATGTTCAGCAAATTACTGATGAAGTTTCGTCATAATTGCAGTAGTAAGACTATTAAGCTGATCCTGGAAATTGAGGCTGATGATTTTCGAGAAGATCGGAAATTTAGATTTATGAAAATTTTATAAGGATAATGATATAAGATTTGTGGTAATTTGGAAAGGAAACAAATTGGAACATGATTTCACTAGTTACTTAAACCTTACTGTTAAGGTTTTGGGTGTATATTTATTGTAGATGGCCAAGAAAATCACTGGCTATGATGTCGCATTGAATTAGTCCAAGTACAGGTAACTTGGATCCTACAAATCACCTTTTATTAATATTGTAACATTTGAACATGGTCAGGTTATAGTCACGACAGTAGGGTTCAAGTACCGTCTATAGGTTTTTTACTTCCATTCATTCATTTCACTCAAAATAGCTCCTAGTACCCCAAATCAAAATCCTCAGAATTCACCTCCAAAACGTTCCGGGTACGGTTGATGGCTAGGCTACTCAGCTACGATGTCGAAAGAAGTTGAGACACAAAGCAACACAAAATGAATGGAGATCGTCGAAAAAAGTCCAAACCGTCTGGCCCTGTATTATAGTTGCACCAAATGACCGAAAAGGGGCAAACCACCATTTTGATTAGATGACATGCTGCCTTTTTTGCAAGCCTTTCAATTTGATTGGCCTGCAAAAAAGGCCGCAGAGCATGCATGACATAAAGTCACGGAGGTAGAAATAAGATAAAGTATAGGGAATCTCTACATGACGCCGTTACACATCTATCCCACGGGATTTTATCTCTAACTAGCACAAATCAGAAAATAAATACAATGAACAAACCTCTTCAAGTTCAAAATCACTTTCGCTGTCGACCGTCAGATCGACAACCTCAACCTTTTCCATGTCCAATCCAAGTAGGCCTACATTGTAGCATCTTTTCCTACCTCCATGATATGATAATACATTTACGATAATTGTTCCGGCCGCTGGCATTGCGGGCCGAACGCTAGCCTTTACTCAAGGCGCGCGTGGCTACCTAGTACCTGGACACACAACTCACACGCACGACGGAAACTACCAGTGGTCGTGCGTGTGCGTCGTGTATTCAGGTAGCCACGCACGCCTTGAGTAAGGGCGGGTAAGCCGAACGCGCGCTGGGGCCGAAGACGATACGTGTGAACAGTAGATGGCGCCCTGCACCACAGACATTGAAAATAGTGTAAAATCAACAAAGTTTGGAGCCCCATGGCGGGCAACTGTACCCCTGAGGCCTCTCAAACAAAGAGCAATTTGTTGTTCGGTCCTTCAGATTTCATTTAATTTTCATTTTTTAGTAGGGTAACCAAAGATTTTTCACCCCTCAAAGGTGAATGTCCCATGTCTTCTCAGTAGCCATTTTTCAAATGACATCCCTCACCTTTTAAGTCAGGTTCTTGGCCTGACTGGGCGTATTCCCCTTCTCTTGTTCAGAAAGTGGGACAGGGCTGCCAGTGATTGGCTGATGCCCAGTGGTTTCAAACCCCCCCCCTCTCTTCCTTAAAAATCGTTCTGCCGGCGTTGTGCAGTGTGTGGTCCTTATATTGAGCTTTCGAACAATACACTGAATAAATTGCATGGCTTCCAGATGTGTCAAACGTACATTTGGGAAGCGAGTCAACCATGCTGATAGGCACCTGTATGGAAATTTTCAGCATGGCAAAAGTTCTAAATGCTAGAGAGTTACATATTGTTGAAGGCTCTATATTTTAGCAATGTTTGAGTTTTTGTCCCTAGATACATGTATCTTTCACACAGAGCAAGCTATTACATCCGCCCGAGAATATAATATAGAATCCGTGCTCTGAAATATGTGATTGCCGACTCGGAACTGTCGGTAACTGAGTACCTTCTTCAGGGCAAGCAGATTCAGTTGGTTCTCAGTTACCAAAAGCTCGGCGATCACATATTTCAGAGTACTGATTTGGTATTTTATTCTCGTCGATAATCTGATCACAGTGCTACGCAGCCCTTCCATATTTCTCTAAGCTATTACATCACGTCGTTCACATACATCCTCATAGAATTTTTTTAAAATAAAAGAGAAAGTTGATAAAAATTCATGATAACTGTATCTTCAATTTTGTCCACTACCATAGCTACACAGCCGTAATTTGTTGGAGCCTGTGGCTCTACCATCCAATTTTTAATTAATTTAATAAAAATCGTTGGTCAAAAGCAGTGTTGGGCATTTGTTATTTGCCCAACCTTGGTTAAAGCTGCCACATTGTTGGTCAATTTTCCGACACTGTAGGTCAAACATTGACCAAATATTGAGAATTTGCTCAAATGTTGCTAAGTTGACATTTTACCAACATTAGGCAAAACATCAAACCAAATTTGACCAACCTTTTTACAAGTGTGTATAAATTATCTGATCTTCACATTTTTAAGCCAAAACACCATTCCGTCGACTGGTATCGTGATTGGAATTTCTAAATAGGAAAGAAATCTCATACAATTGCACTGCATCTCTTTAATTTTCTCCAATGCTATGTTGCGCACCCGCAAATCTCGTTGGAGTCTATCGCCCCTGGTTTTTATACCCAGCAATAAATGAGACCGAGGGGTACCCCCCCAACATGTCCAATCCCGATACACATTCCAGACTATTGTTACTTTTAACACATCCCCCCAAGATGTCTGAAAGGAATTCCCCAGATTCCTGCGAGACAACGACCAACACAAAGCAGGGGGGGTTCTCTTCTGAGGGTTCCTTATTTTAGCCGAGCTATGCATTATGGAAATGTAGGAGAAATCCTTTTGTTGTACTCTGGCGCGATCGTGTGTTCCTGCACTCCTACGCAGTCTCTCCTCAGTTTGGCATGTTGGAAATCCCCCTCCACGTGGCTGCGTGGTTGGGCGTGGTAAGCCTCACTGGAATGCCAATACAAACCTCAGACTTTATATTTGTCAGTCATTCACCAAAGATGACAGGGTATAACCCGGCTCTACACTTTGTACACGTGACTTCTTATTCTGTGTTTCACCTTTTTACAGACGACACGTATTGTGCGTTCGATTAGCTTACACGTGTAAGTCAAACTGACACAAAGCGTTCGTTTAGCCATCACGTGAACTTCGTACCTGCCCTAGTGTCAGCCAGCGGGTCTCTGGAAGCTTCCTAACTGTAATGACCTCACGGATGGACTGTTCGAGCATGGAAATGATGGTGCACCACTAAAAATAAATTCCCATAGACAGCAGTGATAAATCCCCATACTA